ATGCCGCCCTTCTCCGGAGACTCAGGGCGGCTTACAATGTGCTCAGCAATAGCCTTCATCCTTTTGTCTATTTATACAAAGTCAGCTTATTGCCCCCACAAACTGGGTCCTCAATTTACCTACCTTAGAAAGGATGGAAGGCTGAGTCAACCTTGAGCCTTGGCGAGATTCGAACCCTGCAGTAATTGCAGGCAGCTGGTCTTAATAACCAGCTTAATAACAGGGTGCCTTAAACCCCTGTACTACCAAGGCTCTCAAGATATTTTTTTAATATCTTTATTAAATATTTACAGTCAAATTAACACACAATAATGATTGGAAAGCAATAGAAGAAGTGAAATATAGTAACACATAAACACAAGACTAAAACGAAACAACAAACATGACTAACCGAGAGTTAAGCTCACTCTCCAATTAAGATCTCTCTTCTTGAAAACGTCCCACTGTTGGGAGTTTCCACAACTTCTGAATCTGGAGGCAAGCCGTCCCACTGCTGAATTTGTTCTCACTGTCTTTGGTCTATGGCTGTAATAAATCGAATTGATTGATTGTTCTCGCGGTCAGGCAATTTCTCCTTTAGTTCTCGGTTGCTTCTCTCCTTGATTTGTTTCCGTCCATTGCTTCTTGTCCTGCCGTTCAGGTGCTTTGGAGAATAGGTTTGACTCCCTCTTCTTTATGGCAACCCCCTAAATATTGGAATGCTGCTATCATGTCAAGATTGCGTTCATTCCACATCCTGAACTCTTTGAAGTTCATCCTGGACTCTTTGAACCAAAAACCTGTTTTAGTTTTGCCTGGTGGTGAATCACAACTCAGGAAGCACCTTGACCGAGAACTAAGTTTAACGCTCATCAGAATTTTATTTTATTTTATTTTATTTTATTTTATTTTATTTTATTTTATTTTATTTTATTTTATTATTTTATTTTATTTTATTTTATTTTATTTTATTTTATTGCAGGCAAACATGTGCAACTGATTCCTACACAGAGCCGGTGGCTTTTCCGGAGGTCAAGGTTTACCTGTCCGAAAAGATGGACTTTGGGAAGAGCTGCCATACCTGTGTTGCAATTCACTAATCAACCAGTAGATACAGCAAAGCTAGTTCTCTGTAACCTTTTTTGCTATAGTACCTAGGGCCTGGTGGCTCAGCAGGCTGATAGCATTGTGATTAACACCAGCTGTCTGCAATTACTGTAAGTTCAAACCTCACCAGGCTCAAGGTTGACTCAGCCTTCCATCCTTTCTAAGGTAGGTAAATTGAGGACCCAGTTTGTGGGGGCAATAAGCTGACTTTGTATAAAATATACAAAAGTATGAAGGCTATTGCTTAACGCATTGTAAGCCGCCCTGAGTCTCTGGAAAAGGGCGGCATATAAATCAAATTTAAAAAAAACAACAAAAAAACGACCCTCTAGAACAGGGGTCTCCAACCAGAGATGGGTTTCAGCAGGTTCTGACCAGTTCTGGAGAACTGGTAGCGGAAATTTTGAGTAGGTCGGAGAACCAGTAGTAAAAATTCTGACTGGCCCTGCCCCCATCTATTCTCTGCCTCCCAAGTCCCAGCTGATTGGAAGGAAATGGGGATTTTGCAGTAACCTTCCCCCGGAGTGGGGTGGGAATGGAGATTTTACAGTATCCTTCCCCTACCACACCCACCAAGCCATGTCCACCAAGCCATGCTATGCCCATAGAACCGGTAGTAAAAAATTTTTTTAAACCCACCACTATCTCCAACCTTGGCAACTTTAAGACATGTGGACTTCAACTCCCAGAATTCCGCTGACTGAGGAACTCTGGGAGTTGAAGTCCACAAGTCTTAAAGTTGCCAAGGTTGGAGATCCTTGCTCTAGATAGATACCCCCAAAACTCTGGATTCCAAGAATTAAAAAAAAAAAAAAACCACACACACAACATCAACTGCTCCCTCCACCTCGTGAGTTCACTTTTCCACAGAGAAGGAACAATGAACCTTGCTCTATGGACCTTGTACATATTCTCCCTGCCATTCCAAAACATCCAGAAACATTATGCTTAACTAGAAGTTCATTGGTTTGTTTTACAAGGCTGTTTACCATTACAGTTAGTGCCCTATCTCCTTGATTAGATTATTGGTTAGCAATCTAATGAGGGCCAGTTAATATTTCATTAAGGAAAAACTAATTCTTGATTCCTGATGAGTTGTGCGTTTGGATGAGATTGAAATATCCTTATCTGAGTAGTCACATACCTAATCTTAGACACCTCATCTTTTAGATCTATTGACCCATCTGGAAAAAGGACATGTCTGTATGTATATTCATTTATTAATCTCGTTATCCAGCAACTCTTAAATTCTTTAATAAGAATTGTTCAATTTCTGTAATTTTAAAATTGCTTTACTATTTAAAGTAGAAATTTTGTTACATTTTTATTGTATTGTAAGCTGCCCAAAGTCACTTTGGATAAGAATAGAAGGGAAGGGAAGGGAAGAGATGTTGCAGACAACATCTAACATGTGTGAATTCTGTCTTTCTTTTTTCCCAGCTGATGTTTTTCCCAACAGCTGAAGAACCAGCTCTCTTCTCAGCCTGAAGCAATAAGGTGATTCAAGGCCAGGCAGAATTGAAGGGTGAGGCAGTTTGTTCGTACAGCCTGATAAGAGTAGCCCAAATGTAAATTTCTGGGCCTTGTTTGTCTTGCCAATTGCCGGAGTCTGTTCTGATGTAGGCTTCACAAAAGCACGAAGCAGACTCCTTGTCCCCTCATTTTTATTAAGCTAATGTGAATTCCTCTCAGTCACATCCAGCAAACTCCCGGCAAACAGTCGTTCAAGGGTGAATTTACAACCACAGACCTTATCAGGCTTGGAGGGCTGCCAGGCTGATATCTTCCAAACACAATGCTGTACAAGAAAATATTTGGCAAGGAGTCTCTGAGAGTCATGAACAGATCTTCACACTAATGAACTGAACTAATTGTCTCCTGCAAACTCCACTCCCCTTTCGCTCCTCTTTATTCCCTGTGGGAGGGGCCATTCACCATCCACTTGTGCCTTTACTCCTGAGTCGACCCTTGTTCCTTAGCTGTTCCCTGCTCCTGGCAGCTCTGCGCATGCGCACATCAGGAACAGCCCCACTTATCTCCGACTCCGAAGGTAGCTGATAACTGTCGGACAGCCCTGGCCCCATCTCTGCCTCTGATGCAGAGCCCTCATCAGAGCCTTCCCCAGACGCCAGGACTGGCCCATGTTCCTCCTCAACTTCCTCACTGTCTGAGTCTGCCACCAGCTCTGCTGGCCGCTGGGGAGGCCACAACAACTCTGCCCACACCCTGGAGTTTGATCCTGATGAGGCTCCAGGTTGACTCAGCCTTCTATCCTTCCAAGGTCAGCAAAATGAGGACCCAGATTGTTGGGGGCCATATGCAAATAATGCTACTACATTGTAAACCACCCAGAGAGTTCTGAAAAGTGTTTTGGGGCAGTATATAAGCCTAAATGCTATTGCTCATATGAAGAGAGCATTGCTTTCTTGCTCTGGCCCCAACTGAGATAGTAAGTCAAGGTCTATCTCTATAGGCATTGATTGAATTCATGCTAGGGTCATCTTGTATTTAACTGATACATTATAGAACAGGTCCCCTCTGTGGTTGGGTTGGGAAAAAAAAATCCAGATGGCAGCTGTGATCATGCAATTGAAGTCCCACTCTTTTTTTGCATGCATTGTGCATGCAACTTATGCAACCATAAGCATGAGTCAAAAAGAGGGCTGTGAAAATATCTACAGACCCTTCACATCCTGGACATAAACTGTTTCAACTCCTACCCTCAAAAAGACGCTATACGGCACTGCACACCAAAACAACTAGACACAAGGACAGTTTTCCCCAAATGCCATCACTCTGCTAAACCACTAATTCCTACAACACTGTCAAATAATTTACTAAGACTGTATTACTATTATTCTTCTCTTCCTTACTAGTAACTATCGCTTTCCACTTATGACTATAACCATGTTGCTTGTATCTTTCAATTATATTGTTTTTACTTGTTTCCTAGTATGATTTGATAGCTTATTAGTAAACTTGACTATCACTAAGTGTTGTATCTTTTTATTCTTGATGAATGTATTTTATTCTCCTTATGTACACTGAGAGCATATGCACTGAAGACAAATTCCTTGTGTGTCCAATCACACTTGGGCAATAAACAATTCTATCTATCTACCTATCTACGTATCTACGTATCTACGTATCTACGTATCTACGTATCTACGTATCTACGTATCTACGTATCTACCTATCTATCTATCTATCTATCTATCTATCTATCTATCTATCTATCTATCTATCTATCTATCTATCTATCTATCTATCTATCATGGGATGTTACATGTTCAACGCATTAAAAAAAGATAATGGAGCTTCAACCCCATAGACACTCTCATTCCACCATATGTCAATTAAATCCAGGAAGACTCCAGCATGGTACAAAATAAAGCGATGAAAAATAAAATAATATAGGGTTTTAATTGGGTGTTAAAGGGGAGTTATTAGGTTTGTTATTGAACTCTGTATTTTGTTTCCTGGTTGTATTTTACTTATATGGATCTTTTAGCCAGAATATACTAATGTCCTTAAATTTTCATCCACTAGAAGACAACATATATCAAGTTAATCATGATCTCACAAAACTGCATCCAGTTTTGGTCACCACCACACTATAAAAAAGACGTTGACACACTAGAAAAAGTGCAGAGGAGAGCAACCAGGATGATTAGGGGACTGGAGGCTAAAACATCCGATGAATGGTTGCAGGAACTGGGCATGGCTAGTCTAGTGAAGAGAAGGACCAGGGGAGACTTAATAACAGCGTTCTAGTATTTGAGGGGCTGCCACAGAGAAGAAGGGGTCAAGCTATTTTCCAAAGCACCTGAAGACTGGTGTAGAGTCTCCTGCTTGGGCAGTGGGTTGGACTACATGACCTATAAGGTCCCTTTCAACTCTGTTAATGTAATCTAATTTAATCCAATTGAAGTAGCGTTGACCGGAGAACTATTCAATCATGGTGTCTTAGCAAATCATGGTGTTTCTTTGAGAGTCCCAGCTGCAGCTGTCACGGTGAAAGCCGCAACGAAGATCTGCTTCTTGACTTCTTCCCAGGCTTTCTCTTGGTCTTCTTTGTGGTCAATGTCAAACAGGGCATCATAGATCCCAGGGAAGGACACTCCAGCGTACTTGTTGTGACTGTTCGGAGCGAAGACGATGTGTCTAGAAAAAGGTAGTAAGGTCAGTTGGCCACTGGAATCACGTTATTTAGAACTGAAGTTCTCGAGGCTTGAAACAAATCATCATCCTCTAACCTTACTGCCTTCAAAAACATTAAGAAGAACTTCACTGAATCAGCCCTGGTCTACATTCAATGTCACATTATCAACAATCGGATGCATTCTGGAAGCCAACAGGATTAGATTGGTAGGCGAAAGATCTCTTTTGAAGAAGATCTTAAGATTTGGTTTTAAGAAGCAGTTGAAAGACTAGGAGACCTTAAGTCCTCTCCTCCATTGTCTCATCTCCGTATTGTTAGGGTTCTGACGGATGCCCTAATTAAATCATGAGCCTCGAGCCAAGCTTCAAAAGAAATCCAGTTATTTATTAGGAGCTTCATGTCAGCATGTTCCCAAGTGAAGCCAGCTCTAACCCCATGTAATTTACACCCCAATCATGACCCTATTTCCCCCCAGGGTGTGTCATCAATCGCATTCGCCAACTGAGCAATTTTGTGGGTTGTAGAGACTACTCCCCTCTGGCCGCTGTGGGTAACTCTGGGAGACAACCTTGAGAGAGATAAGTCTGGAATGTGCATCTGACCTTGGCTGCCATGCTGTTTCATCGGTTTCCCATCTCCCCTTGCCTATGGCAACTCAAGAGCAGGCCAGGGATGCTTTACGAGTTGACACATATCTTAACTGACCATCTTTATACCTGATAGAATGACCTCCATGGTTTATTTAGACTTCATTACCTTTCCGGCAAATATCTGGAAGTTTTTTCCAAACAAACCCATCATGACATGATGGACAAGGCAATTTATTGTTAAAAACTTTCACCTGGGAGACCAGTGGGCTGCTTTAAGCCATTGGTTGGTCACTATGAGAACACATTATGAACTAGATGGGCCAGAAGTCTAGTCCAAAAGGTGACTGCTTATGTTCTTATAATATATGTGTCAACTTGCAAAACTTTCAAGTTGCCATGAGCAGGAGGGAGGGAGAACTGATAGAGCTGATTGATTTCCCTAACTGAAGTGCATTCCATACATTCTTCCTGACCGCAATCAGAAGGAGGGTGTTGGATTTCACAGCCAGCCAAAGTCGTTAATTGGAGAACGTGATTTATGACATGGCCAGAGAGGAGGCGAGAGACAGGGTCATAGGGGAACGTAAATCTACGTGGGATTAGTTCTAACTACATCCGAATATTGCCGAAATGGTGCTCCTAATAAATGACTGTATTTCTTTTGAAGTTCGGCTCATGGCTCATGAATTAATTAGGGCATCTTTCGGAAACTTCACAATATGATTTTTAAGACTGGGAAAATGGAAAGATGATTGACAAGCCACCCTGAATCATTGGGTTGAGTTTGGTGGCTATAGAAATAGAAGAAATATATATATATTCCTCTTACCTATAAAATGGTCTGCCGGGCAATCCAAGAGGATCGATAAATGCTCTTTCCAAGAACATCAATTGATCATTCCAAGATCTTACTTCAATTGGGCTGGAAATTTAGACAATTGAAATAACAATGTTAAAGGAAACATGACTTCTGATCAGGATGCACAAACTTTTGACAACCAAGCAAAGTTGAGAGAGGACTATCTTAACTGGACTTTCTAAGGCTAGAGTTTGCAAGGATCCCTTAAAATTCAATTACCATACTTTTCGGAGTATAAGACACACTTTCCCCACCCCCCAAAAGAGGGTGAAAATTTGGGTACATCTTATACACTGAATGTAGCCCCGCCCACCCACTGGCCCCCACCCTTCGGCCATTTTTGGCCTCCACGCATCGCGTTTTCAGCCTCCGAATACTCCATTTTAGACCCGTTTCAGTCTGTGGGGATCGCCACAGCACATCGCCTGGAATGGGTCTAAAATGGAGCATTCAGAGGCCAAAAATGCGAGGCACGGAGGTAGCGATGGTCTGTGGCAATCCCTGCAGCCTGGAACAGCTGATTGGGGGTATTCCGGGAGGCTGCCCGCCAATCGGCTGCTCGTGCTGAATTAGGCTGAGATAATGTGCTGAAGCTGACCAGGCTGTTTGCTGTTTGCTGCAAGGAGGCTAGCCAGATGGATGCTGGGAGGCAGAGGCAGATTTTTTTTTTCTTGTTTTCCTCCCCAAAAACTAATGTGCATCTTATACTCCGAAAAATACAGTAATATCAGAAGAATGGAGGATATCTTATCTGAACAGCCAGAAAATTAAGAGACTTACTTATGGATGTCCACTAATTCAAGTCTGCGGTGAAAGTCACTAGCAACGTCTGAAAATGCCTTTACGGAATCCCGAAGCAAAACTGGAATAATGCAGAAGAGAAAATGCTAAATTATGAGACTCTTACTTTTACTGTTTGCATAAAATTAGCTCAAGTGTAGAGAACCTGTGACTCTCCAGAGGTTGAATGACAGCTCTCACATCCCTTATTACCCACTCAGTTTAGAGGTATGAGAATTGCAATTCAGAATTTTCCATAACGGCCCAGCGAGCTGGAATTCTGAGACAGTGCCGGAACTGAGGAAGTAATTGTATTATGGCAGGAAGCCTATTTAAACAAATAGTAGGAAGAGGTCGACAATTATTTACTCTAAGGTAGTCTTTGTTCACAGCAGTTAACTGAAAAAACAAAAGATTATCTGCTTTGGCAAACCAAGGTGACAAGGTCAGCAGATGCTGATGAGATAGAAAAAGACGAAAACTGCATGACGCGGTCTTTTCAGGACCTGTTAGTTAATCTCTTGAAGGCCAGACAAGGAATAATGGATGGAAACTGAACAAGGAGAGACATTCAACCTGGAAATAAGGAGAAATTTTCTGACAGTGAGAACAATCAACCCATGGAACAGAAGTTGCCTTTGGAAGTTGTGAGAGCTTCATCACTGGAGGCTTTCAAGAAGAGACTGGACTGCCATCTGTCAGAAATGGTGAAGAATCTCCTGCTGGGGGGGGGGGGAATGGACTAGATGACCTACAAGGTCCCTTCCAACTCTGTTAATCTGTTAAATCTCTTTCCTTTGGGTGCAGTGGCTGCACTTGAAATATGAGTTATCTGCAGCTTTGTTCATATTTATATACCCTGTTTCCCCTAAAATAAGACACCCCCTGATAATAAGCCCAATCGGGCTTTTGAGTGCATGCGCTAAAATAAGCCCCCCCCCAAAAAATAAGCCTCCCCGAAAATATTTAAATGCATGCGCAGCTCGTCCCCGCCATTTCCTTTGGTTAGGGTTAAGGAGACAGAGTTGGAAATCAGGTAAGACGGCAAGAGGAGCCCCATCTGGCTCCATGCGCCCCAAAGTAATAAGACATCCCCAAAAATAAGGCCAAGTGCTTATTTCGGGGTTCAAAAAATATAAAACAGGGTCTTATTTTGGGGAAAACATAGTACATGGAATTGGAAAGAGAGATGGAGGTACCATTTTGTTAGAAGCAGCACATATGGCTGTCTATGTTTGTAAGGATAATACAGGTAGTCCTCGACTTATGACCGCAACTGAGCCCAAAATTTTTCTTGTTAAGTGAAATGTTTGTTAAGTGAGTTTTACCCTATTTTACGACCTTTCATGCCGCAGTCGCTAAATGAATCACTGCAGCCAATAAGTTAGTCTTCATGGTTGTTAAGTGAATCTGGCTTCCCCATTGACTTCGCTTGTCAGAAGGTCGCAAAAGGAGATCACAGGACCTTGGGACACAGCAATGGTCATAAGTACGAGTCCGTTGCCAAGCCTCTGAATTTTGATCACGTGACCATGGGGGGGATGCTACAAAGGTTGTAAGTGTGAGAAAGGGTCATAAGTCACTTTTTCCAGTGCAGCTGTAGCTTTGAATGGTCACTAAATGAACTGTTGTATGTTGAGGACTACCTTCACTCCTGGTGATGATATATCCCCATGATGGCGAACCTATGGCACGCGTGCCACAGGTGGCACACGGAGCCATGTCGCCTGGCACACCAGCTCAGCTCTCAGCCTCTCCAAGAGTCTCTGGAGGCTGGGGACAGCAAAAAAGTCACTTCCTGTCCAACCGAAACTTGGAAAATGGGCCGTTTTGGGCTTCTGGAGGGCTTCTGAGGGGTGGGGAAGGCTGTTTTTGCCCTCCCCAGATGCATAGAAAGGATCTGGAGCCAGGTGAGATAGAAAAATGGACCTACTGGGCCACCGCGTGCCAGGAATGGGGAGAGGGGGGGTCGCATGCACAGAGCGCATAGAATTATGGGTGCAGGCACGCGTACACGCGAACCTCCCCCACCCCCCCTTTCCTGGCACGCGATGGCAAAAAGGTTAGCCATCACTGATATATCCTATGTATTAGCCATTTATAGTTGCAATCTTGTCATCGCCTTCACATCTTGTGGGATTCGTTTCATGAAATAAATTCATTTGCGGGTTTTTTGTTTTTTAACTGGCTGCCTGAGAACTCACTTTCACAACAAGTAGATCAAAGGAATCGGGGAGGAATGCTGGGTGTTATTGAAGATCCTACCTTGATGTTGGAGATTTGTCCGCTTACCTAATGATACGTTGTGTGCTTCCATTGCCGCCTGATGTTTCATGGTTGTGTTGTAAATGACATCAACATAGCTATTAAGCGCCTTGGCATAATCTCTGCAGTCGAACGGGAGGAGGGCTGCAGCAGCCAGCTCAAACACCAGCCCGCCTCGCACTTGGGCTACAGCCAGGTGATTCTTGAAAGTTGGGTCATAAAACTTTTCCACAATCTCGTACGTCTCATAGACACTGTGATAAACAGGATAGCTGCTGAACTTGTCCACTTTCTGAGGAAAAAAAGGTATCCGCCTATGTGGGCTTCGTTTTGGTAATTGAACAACATTCGTACACAAAATAGTGAGGTTTGCACAACATATCCAACACTTAGCAAAATAGAATTGCTATGTTCACAGATCTGTCCTAAGAGTTAATAATACATTGTAGCTGAACTTGATGGTCTGGATTGCAAATGCGCTAAAATGGACGATCAGAGGTGTTATCAGATGCACTATAATTTCAATTTATATTTCACTTGCATTGCATTAATTATTTCCCAGGGTTTTCCCCACAGGTGTTTATTTTTCAGGGGGCAACTGGACTTTCTTGTTTTTTCTTTTGAAGACATTTCGCTTCTCATTCATGAAGCTTCTTCAGCTCTGACAGAATAGTGGGGAATGAAAGGATTTATATTCCTTGCAGACAGCTGGTCATTTGCATCCTTTTAGAGGGTCGCTGAAGCACTTGGGAGGTTAATCTGTGTCCTCAGGGGCACTTTTGCGGTGCTCCTATTTCTTTCTTTATTTTATTTATTTATTTGTTGAGTACGTATTAGATAATATATATAATATAAGCATGATTTTTTAAATTTTTAATCGTTAAATTTTTAATTAGGTAATATATATCTTTATTTAGATAATTTTTTATTATATTTTTATTTAGATAGTTTTTAATTAGATAATATATATAAGTATAAGCATGAATTTTTAAATTTTTAATCGTTAACTTTTAACTTTTAAATGTCCAAAACGGGTAGTTTTATTTTAATTAGATATGGGCCAAATTATTTAATATTTCTTAAATTGTTTTTTAAATTTTATATCTGTGTGTTTTATTTTGGCTGTACACCGCCTTGAGTCCTTCTGGGAGAAGGGTGGTATATAAATTAAATTAAATTAAATTAAATTAAATTAAATTAAATTAAATTAAATTAAATTAAATTAAATTAAATTAATAAATACATACATACATACATAAATACATAAATACATAAATACATAAATACATAAATACATAAAATGAATATAATTAAAAGAAACATTAGGGCAGGGACGGTAGGCACGCTGGTGTGTTTATACACGCCCCTTACAGACCTCTTAGGAATGGGGTGAGGTCAACAGGAGACAGTCTTAGGTTAAAATTTTGGGGGTTTTGGGATGAAACCACAGAGTGAGGTAGTGCATTCCATGCATTGACCACTCTGTTGCTGAAGTCGTATTTTCTGCAATCGAGTTTGGAGCGGTTCACTTTAAATTTGTATCTATTGTGTGCTGGTGTATTGTTGTGGTTGAAGCTGAAATAGTCATTGACAGGTAGGACATTGTAGCAGATGATTTTATGAGCTATGCTTAGGTCATACCGAAGGCAGCGTAGTTCTAAATTTTCTAAGCCCAGAATTTCAAGTCTGGTGGCATAGGGTATTTTGTTGCGAGCAGAGGAGTGGAGGACTCTTCTTGTGAAATATTTCTGGACAGGCTCAATTGTATTAATGTCCGATATGCAGTGCGGGTTCCAGACAGATGAGCTGTATTCGAGAATCGGTCTAGCAAATGTTTTGTATGCTCTGGTTAGTAGTGTGATATTACCAAAAAAGAAGCTATGCAAGATTAGGTTTATAACCCTTAATGCCTTTTAGGTGATATTGTTACAGTGGGCTTTGACACTTAGATCATTTGAAATGAGTACTCCAAGGTCCTTGACAGAGTGAGGGTCATCTACGAGGTCGTGTCCACTCAGCTTGTACTTAGTGTTCTGATTCTTTTTGCCAATGTGTAAAAATCCTGGTTCCTGGGGCCTTCAATTTTTTCCTCTGGAAATCCATTTCTACTCCCACACCATTCAAAGGGTGTTCATCCCAAATTGTAAAGCTAAAAGTCCTACAGAGCTGAAGAAGCTACTTGGATGATAAGCAAAACATCTTCAAAAGGAAAAAAACAAGGAAGTCCAGTTGCCTCCTGGAAAAAAGCACCTAGATGACTGACAATCTCTACAGACTTTCCCAGAGTTTGATCATTTGCTCCTTGAATATGATAAATGGTTGCTGATTTGAATACGAGTCCTTTTTAAAATATTTTTTAACCCCGTCTTTATTATTTTTATAAGTAACTCAAGGCGGTGAACCAAATTAATGCTCCTTCTTGCTCTATTTTTCTCGCAACAAGATCCTTCTGAGGTAAGTTGGACTGACAGGGAGTGACTGGCCCAAAGTCACCCAACTGGCTTTCATGGCTAAGGCAGGACTTGAACTTACAGCCTTGCCACCAGGGGTATTCTGGGAGTTGAAGTCCACACATCTCAAAGCTGCCAAATTTGAGAAACACTAGGGTTATATCAGGGGAGGGCTGCTGGGGGTTCGCAGGGGTTCGGGAGAACCTCTAGCTAAGATTCTGTGCAGTTCGGAGAACCCCCAAATCCACTCCTGGCTGGCCCCACCTACCCCGCCCCTTCCAGGAGTCCCCACACAGCCCGTTTTGGATGCAGGTGAGTGCAGGGCATGCGTGGAGGCTTGGGGAGGGCAAAAACTGGGCCCACTGGAAGTTCAGGAAGGCTGGAAATGGGCTCGTTTCCCGCCTCCAGAGGGCCTCCGGAGCCTGGGGAGGCCACTTTCGCCCTCCCGGAAGCTTGAGGAAAGCCTACAGAGCCCAGGGAGGGCAAACACACATACACACACACACACACACACACACACACACGGTGCAGGAGACTGACTAGGCCACCCCCACCATGGCCACACTCACCCAGCAACTGGGCAGAGAACCCCTTGCTAAAATTTTTGAAGCCCACTCTTGTGTTATATAAGCTAGGTCATTTTCTCCAATCTTCCTTTCTTATGTTGCTTCTTTTACTCTGTATTATATTGTCACGTTCAAGTATTTAATTTATTTTGTTTGTTATTTCTTTCCTTATTGTTGGGCCTTTGACTGCAAAACAATAAAGTAAACAAGAAAAGTGATTTAATAAGCAGCTTTGAAGATCTTTAAGATCTCCTGTTATAGCTAGATGGCATAAGGTGAGGCCCAAATTGTATTTACTTAGTACGGTATTGCCTTGGGCTTTTCAGTCAAATTCGTGCAATTGTACAGCTCGACACGGGAAAGGCCATCTGTTTCCACTGGAATTAAATTCTTAGATAATTTACATCTTCTGAACTATTGGGAAATACTTGAGATTAGAAAAATGGACGTTTACATGTAATTCTTATCTTTGAAGTGGAAAGATTTCAGATTCTCCAGATGGAACGCTTGCAGCTTTTTCTGTTTGGGCATTTTACAGATGTTATGTTTGTTATGTTTATTATATTTGTATATCGCCCTTCTCCCGAAGGACTCGGGGCGGTGAACAGCCAACAGATAAAATACAAAAAATACAAAATTTAAAACAATATTAATATCCAATTAAATTAATTTGGCCCACAGTTAAAACACCCGTATATTAAAACCCATAATTTAACAATTTAAAATTAAAACAATTTTAAAAAGTTAGGTCCTTTTTGTCCTGAACTGCAGTTCCTACAATCCACAGCCAACATCTGGAAAGTTTTAAGTTGCAGAAGGCAGTTTCAATTAGATTTCTTCACGCTATTCTTGGAAGAGAGAGCAGGATTTGGTGGTTAAGGAACCGGACTAGAAATCAGGAAGCCATTAATTCTAGTCCTGTTTTGCGTACAAAGCCAGCAGGGAAACCTTGAGCCAGTCGCTCTTTGTCATCCCTAAGAAGGAGGCAATGGCAAACCACTTCCAAAATCTTCCCAAGAAATCTGCAGGGATTGGTCCAGGCAGGCACCAGGTGTCAACAGTGACGTGAAGGCACCACCCTCCCCAAAACATTATTTGAACAGACTTACAAAGTTTTTAGTGTAACGGGCTCTACCAGAAGCAATTCCCAACCTTTGGAAAAAGACTTCAAAATCATTGCCAGAACCCAGCTTGTTTATCCTGTTGGAAAGAAAATAGGTAAGGGAAGGAGAACAAGTGATGTAAGAAATTATAAATTATTTTAATGTGGGGTACTAGAGATCTCAAAAAGTTTCTGAACAATGCAGAGACTCTTCTGCATCTCTTTCCTTCTTTCTTTATAAAGCTGCTTTTATCTTTTACAGAAGAAAGAGGGGAAGAAACTGGGTAGATCAGAGAGAAAGGGGAAGTTAGATGCATATCTGCATATGTTAGATGTGGAGGGAGTTATTCCCCAGCCAAATTGAATAACTTGGCCTGAGCAATGGATCTACACAACTTTTCTATTATGAGCATCATATAGGACAGTGATGGCTAACCTTTTTGTTGTCGCGCACCCATAATGCAATGTGCAAGCAATCCCCCCTGCGTGCCCCCTGCGCATGGGCACGTGCCCCCCCCGTGCTCCCCTGTGCCCCGTTTTGGGCCTAGTAGGCCTCCCTGCAGCCTTCTTGGAGCAAAAATGGGCCGCAGGGGATCCGCGCCACACCTTCCCGTGCCCCGTTTTGGGCCTAGTACGCCTCCCTGCACTTATAACCCATAATGCAATGCGTGCATGCTCCCCATGCGCCCCGCCGATCTGTGCATGTGCATGCAACCCCCCACCCGTGCTCCACCACCCACTCCCACACATGCGTGCGCATCTTCAGCATGTGCCCCGCCCCCCGCGCATGCGTGGCAGAGACCCAAAAATCAGCTGGCCATCCGGAGGTGCGTGCGCATGCACAGTGGAGCTGAGCTGGGGCAACGGCTTGTGTGCCCGCAGAGAGGGCTCTGAGTGCCACCTGTGGCAGGTGTGCCATAGGTTCGCCATCACGGATATAGGAGAATATTCACTTCACTTATTTTATGTATTTATTAGATTTTTATCCTGCCTGTCAGGTTTCGATGTCATCTCAAATAAAATAAATTGCATTTCCAAACAGATAGTCTTTGACGAAATCTTTCATTTTATTAAGCATGACAATCTGTCTCCGATCATGGCGTAGCCAACACTGACTTCCTGACCCCAAACCTTCCCTTTCCGTTCTCCAATTCTCTACGTCTCATTGGCCATTTTCCAAATCACTCTCCCCATATCTACTGTTTCAGCTCCCAGGAATGTCCCCCCTCCCATCTCATCTCCTAGGGGATATTTTCTTCAGGGAAAATAAGTAGGTGAGAAGTCAAGCGTCCCCTTGCCAGCTGCCCCCCCCCCTTCTCCTTCTTATGTCAGCACTAAAGTAAATGCAGGTTGAACTGCTGACACTGCCTTTATTACTTTATAAGTATAACTCAAGGCAGCAAACATACATAATAGTTCTTCCTCCTCCTGCTGTTTCTCCCACAGCAACCCCGTGAGGTGGGATGGACTAATAGAGGGTGATTGGCCCAAAGTCACCCAGTCAGCTTTTTTGTCTAAGGTGAAATTAGAACTCACAGGCTTCTGGTAATTGGCTGGCTTTAATGCCTAAGGCCCGGGTGTCAAATTCGATCACGTCATGTGATGTATCGTGATGTATCACAATGGGTTTTTTTTGCCTTTGTGGAGCCGGGGTGGACATGTGATGCATCCAGCTCATGGGCCACCAGTTTGACATGCCTGGCCTAAGGTGAAACTAGATGTCAGCATTCCAAATAATACACCCATAGCAAACAGAACTCCAAGGCAGGTAGATTCCTCAAAGAACAGTTTTATTTGGAGATATCATATTGGCACAGACCGGTGAAAACCAACTCTGAGAGTTCCCGCAGTTTTCACCTAATTAAAAACTGAAAGTTTCCCTTTCCCCCAAACAATAAGTCACATTGTCCAATCTAGGTGCTAGCCGGTTGCCTGGTTACTTCTTTCCTCCTCCTCTCTCCAACCAGCTGTTGGAATGACCTTGGTTCCCAGGAGAAACCATTTCGTTTTGGCTACAAAAGCCCAGCTATCTCTACTCCCCCCTCCCTATCCCTCAGCTGCCGTGTGGCAACACTGAAGCTTGAAAAATAGCCTCGGTGAGACCAGCTTCAGGGTTGACACTAGAACTCACGGTCTCCTGGTTTCTAGGCCAGCACCTTAACCATTACACCAAACTGACTGCTTTCTGTCTTCCAGAATAGACTCCCAGTTTATTTGGGCTTTCACTTTTGTATTTGCATCTCAGCTGCTACCAAAAATCCACTCCATTCTCCGCAAGGTAACTCTGCCTCTGATTTCTACCTTTCCCATTTTGGCTAGGGTTGCCAGGTCTGCTTCCAAAAAATAGCGGACAAGCGGGGCGGAGGGGTGGGGTTAAGTAGTAAATTTTTTTTAAAAAAATTACAATTAAATTATATATTTTCTTACAAACATTTTAACACGTATTAAAATAATCACTTCAAAACTTTACTTAAAATTCAAAACATCAAATATACTATAATAATATGTAAAATATTAAATTACATTTTAATTTCATCATAAAGCTTTTGAATAAAAAAAATGTCCACTATTTTGTGAAAAAAAATAGTGAACATAATGTGAAAAAAGCGGACTGTCCGCTCAAATAATGGACACCTGGCAACATTAATTTTGGCATTTACCTTGGGAAGCCTTTCTGTTCCCTTGATGGGTTTTTCTCATACCAGCTTTCAAAAAGAGATCTGCCTTCAAATCCTTCGTCAGGGCTTGGTATCTACGAAGACATGTGTTGTGTTAATGGAACTATAAAAGAAAGGGAAGACATACCATTATTATCACAGAGTGGTTAAAATGCGGTATTGCAGGCTAACTCTGCTGACTGATAGCAGTTCGATCCTGACCGGCTCATGGTTGATTCAGCCTTCCATCCTTCCGAGGTCGGTAAAATGAGGACCCAGATTGTTGGGGGAAATATGCAATATGCTGATTCTGTAAACTGCTTAGAGAGGGCTGTAAAGCACTGTGAAAAGGTATATAAGTCAGGGGTGGGCTACTGGGGATTCACAGGGGTTCAGGAGAACCTCTAGCTAAGATTCTGTGCAGTTCTGAGAACCCCCAAATCCCACTCCTGGCTGGCCCTGCCCCGCCCCTCCTAGTAGTCCCCACACAGCCCATTTTGGATGCAGGTAAGTGCAGGGCACACATGGCTCGGGGAGGATGAAAAACAGGCCTACCGGAAGTTCAGGAAGGCCAGAAACGGGCCTGTTTCTGGCCTCCAGAGGGCCTCCAGAGCCTGAGGAGGCCGTTTTTGTCCTCCCGGCGGCTCAAGGAAAGCCTCTGGAACTCAGGGAGGGCAAAAACGCCGCCCTGCCATGGTGCAGGAGGCCGACTAGGCCATGCCCACCATGGCCATGCCTACCCAGCAACCGGGCAGAGAACCCCTTGCTAAAAATTTTGAAGCTCACCCCTGATATAAGTCTAAGTGCTATTGCTATTGCGAATAGAATAGAATAGAATAGAATAGAATAGAATAGAATAGAATAGAATAGAATAGAATAGAATAGAATAGAATAGAATTGAATTTTTATTGGCCAAGTGTGATTGGACACACAAGGAATTTGTCTTCGGTGCATACAGTCTCAGTGTACATAAAAGACAAGATACATTCGTCAAGAATCATAAGGTACAACACTTAATGATAGTCATAGGGTACAAATAAGCAATCAGGAAACAATATCAATATAAATCGTAAGGATACCAGCTACAAGGTTACAGTCATACAGTCATAAGTGGGAGGAGATGGGCAATCTTTTTCAAGAGGAAAATTCACAGCTTCATGTCAATATATACAATATAGCACCTGTCTGGAACCATGCGATCCTGGGAAAAAGTGCTGTTGCTTTAAGATGTTACAAACAGGTGCTCTGTTTGCATTTCTGTGTGCTCCAAACAACCTTTGGCGATCGAATCTGAAGTGCTGTGTGTATTCAATGTTGCAATGGTGTAAATGGGAAATATGTAATATAACCTTTCTCAATTGCTTTGCTCCAATTATATTATACAACTTTCACAATGCCCGGGTGTGCTATTTTGGAATTTGACACATCTGGACAACACCACACTGAAAGAGGCTGGCGTCTGACACAACCTGCTTTTGTAAAATCATAGATTGTGGGTTACAAGCTATCTTACCTACTTAATCATGAGGGCAACCTTATACGAAATTAGACTTGCTGATACTGGCAATCCTAAACTAAGCTTCGGTGCACTGTCATTATTCAAACCACATGATCCTTATTTTTTCAAGGTACCGTACTATTTACATACCTAACAGAAAAGTGGCTGGTTTTAATTATTGTTATTCTGGAAGGCCTTCATTTCTCAGACAAAGTATGAGCTCAATGGAAAATCACACTCAACCGCACAATATTGTCCAGTCGAGAAGGACATTCTGTCCAGTCCAGTATTTTTCAACCTCAGCAAGTTTTAAGAAGTGTGGACTTCCGCTGCCAGAATTTCCCAGTCAGCATGTTGAAGTCCATGCATCATACATTTGCTGAGGTTGAAATACTCTGTTCTAGACCAACCAAGCTGCAGATATCAATTCTGCCCTTTGAGTCTTTAATCTTCCCAGGTTGATCCAAAGCAGTGGTGAAATGTAAAATTTGATACTACCGGTTCTGTAGGCGTGGCTTGGTGGGGGGGTAATGTGGCCAACTTTTTTTTTTTTACTTTTAAAACTATTTTTGCTTTTCAGCAGAAGAGGTTGTCAAAAAAATGCTTTCAAAAGCCTCTGACGATCCCAGCTGAGTTGCCTGATCGTCAGAGGCTTTCTTTTCTTTTAAAAACATTTTTTCTACAACCTCTTCGGCCGAAGATGTTGTAGAAAAAAATGCTTTTAAAAGCCTCTGATGATCCCAGCTGAGCCGCATCATCATCAGAGGCTTTTTTTTTTTTTTACTTTTAAAAGCATTTTTTCGGCCAAAGAGGTTGTATAAAAATGCTTTTAAAAAATAAAAAAATAGCCTCTGATGATCGCACGACTCAGCTGGGCATTGGGGGGGGGCAGGGATTTTTGCTACCAGTTCTCCGAACCACCCACCGCCATCGCTACCGGATCAGGCGATCCGGTCCGAACCAGAAGCATTTCACCCCTGATCGAAAGGTGCTTTTTTTCAAGAGGCAACTGGGATTTCTCTGTTTTTCCTGGAAGACAGTTCACTTCTCATCCAAGAACTGAAGAAGCTTCTTGGATGAGAAGCGAAACGTTTTCAAGGAAAAACAAAGAACGTCTGTTGGCCTTTCGGGAAAAAAAAGCACTTTTGGAACAACCATGACCTGGAGGACTGAGAATCTCCATAGATTTTGAGATTTCAAGATTAAAATTGTACAGAGAAGGCAAATAGATCCTCACAATTCAAAACTCAGTGCCTTCAACACGGCAAGTTCCAGGACTGAAATGGCAGGACAGTATCTCATGTGGATGTTGGACCAGGTATAGCCTCTGAACTTGATCACCCTCAAACAGTGATAGAATGGATGTCTTGCATTCATAGAATTTATGGTTGTTTAATTTGCTAGATTTCTAGCCTGAATTCTCTAAGATGACTTCTAAGGGGAAGTCCCGTTGTTTTTATCTCTCTACAGTAACAATCTGTGAGGTGCATTGAGCTGAAAGAGAGAGTGACTAGATTTCTGGCCCTAAATCAGTGGTGGGCTGCTGCCGGTTTGGACTGGTTCAGGCGAACCGGTAGTTCCGATGATCAGCTGGCCCCGCCTACCCGCCCTTGCTCTATCCTGTCCTATATTTCCTTCTTTCTGGCTCAGCTGATTCACGCGGCACAGCTGATTTCCGTGCCTCCGCTGTTCTACTTACCAGGGCTGCCTTAGAAGGTAAGCAGCTGAGCTTCAAATTGCTGTATTTTGAATGCTGCGCGCAAGCGCATTAACCATACATGTGTGCGAAGCGGTGCGAAGCGGTGCGAAGCGGTGCGAAGCGGTGCGAAGCGGTGCGAAGCGGTGCGAAGCGGTGCTCACAGAACCAGTTGTTAAACTGGTTGCAGCCCACCACTGAGTAAACCATTTCCATAGATGGTGGTCTTTTCCAAGATGAAAATATTTGAGAGCTGTACGCAATGTAATTTCATTTTAATGTATGCCGATTAGTGTTCATTCAAAGTGACAATAAAGTTATTCTAAGTTCTAACAGATGCTCGAATACCATGCTAGATTGTACTGAAAAGGGAAACAACAAGAGAGAGGGGAAGGAGGAGAGAGAGAGGAAGGGAGAAGAGAGGAGAAGAGAGGGAGAGGAAGAAGAAAGGGAAAAGGAGAGGAAGAAAAGGGAAGGGAAAGAGGAGTAGGAGAGAAGGTTAGAAGGGGGGGAAGAAGAGACAAGTGGGGGAAGGGAAGGGGAAGTAGGAAAGAGAAGGAGAGGAAGAACGAAGAAAGTAGGAAGAGATAGAGGGAGGAAGAGAAGGGGAGGAGAAGAAGAAAGGTGGCAAAATAAAGAAGGGTAAATAGTAAAAGAGCAGCCCCGAATAAGTAAAAATTAAAAATGAAAGTTAAAAGATAAGATGAATGAAAAATGGCGAATAAACGACTGTACATGTAAATATGTTTATGAGAAATAAAAATAAAAACTTTTTTGAAAAAAAAAAGTTTTTAAGCCCCATCCTCTGGATATCTCTAGTTGTAGTGATTATGGCATTATCTAGGGCAGTGGTGGGCTGCAGCCGGTTTAACCAGTTCTGTGAGCACGTGCTTCGTGCATTTGCGTAGGCTTCGTGCGCATACGCCTAACGCGCTTGCACACAGCATTCAAAATACAGGAATTTGAAGCTCAGCTGCTTACCTTCTAAGGCAGCCCAAGTAAATAGAATAGTAGAGGCGTGGAAATAAGCTGTATACAAATACATCTGTTCATATTTTACCTCTTTAGTTAGATTGTATACCAGGCTATGCATCGACGGGGTACAGTCGACTCGAAGAGTGTAGTTACCTGAAAGAAAAGGATGGTATCTTTACTATAGTTAGGAGGAATCTTTTTAGATAAATAAATTTTATTTGGGGGAAACCCCACCAACATACTTTAAATGTGGATTTCTAATGTTCTTATGCTTCTGATTTTTTTTTAAAATGTTTTTTTGGATTTTAACAGAATAAGAAGAGTTGGAAGGGACCTTGTGGGTCTTCTAGTCCAACACCGTTCCCAAGCAGGAGAACCTATAGCATTTCAGAGAAATGACTGTCTAATTTCTTCTTAAAACACTCAAGTGTTGGAGCACCCACAATTTCTGTAGGCAAGCTGTTCTAGTAATTAATGGTTCTCACTGTCAGGAAGTTTCTCCTTAGCTCCAAGTTGCTTCTCTCTTTGTTCAATTTCCATCCACTGCAGTGGTGGTTTCCTCCCGGTTCGGCCCGGTTCGGCCAAGCTGGTAGCGGTGACGATATGATGTCACCGAACCGGTTCTCTTTGTTCGGGAGTTGGCCCCTCCTGCCCCTCCCCTGCATTATTCTTACCTTTTATTTGGCCCCGCCCCCAATCTATTGTTGCCTCCCAAGTCCCAGCTGATCGGCTAGAAGGAAAAAAACTGTTTAAACTCTTACCGCGGGGCTTCAAAGGGCTGCCCTACAGCTGATCAGTGTTTAAAGGCAGTGTGGTGGTAGACCAGTGCCTCCAAAAACAAATGGGTAGACCGGTGCCTCCAAAAACAAATGAGTAGACCGGTGCCTCCAAAAACAAATGAGTAGACCGGTGCCTCCAAAAACAAATGAGTAGACCGGTGCCTCCAAGAACAAATGAGTAGACCGGTACAGCTCTGCAAGCAGTTAAAAGCCTGGTAGATCAGTACCTCTGCTAAATCCTAAAGAATTGTCACATGACCATCAAGTCATAACCACAAAATAAGCCATGCCCACAGAACCGGTAGTAAAAAAATTTAGACCCCACCCCTGATCCACTGCTTCTTGTTTTGCCTTCTAAAGCTTTGGAGAATAGGTTGACCCCCCTCTTCTTTGTGGCAGCCCCTCAAAATATTGGAAGACTTCCATCATGTAATGCTTCTCAATCCTTAATCCTTCTTAATCCTTCTCTTTATTAGACTAGGTATACCCAGTTCCTGAAACTCAAATCCTTTGGCCACCTAATGAGAAGGAAGGACTCACTGGAGAAGAGCCTAATGCTGGGAAAGATTAAGGGCAAAAGAAGAAGGGGACCGCAGAGAATGAGGTGACTGGATGGAGTCACTGAAGCAGTTGGTGTGAGCTTAAATGGACTCCAGAGGATGGTAGAGGACAGGAAGGCCTGGAGGAACATTGTCCATGGGGTTGCGATGGGTCGGACACGACTTCACAACTAACAACAACAACCCAGTTCCCACAACCATTCATCGTATGGTTCTAACTGTTCTAATGGGAAATTTCTTCTTGGACAACCATTTGTCTGAAATTGTACTGTTTCCTACTGGAGCAAGGAATTGGACTAGAAAATCTCTAAAGTCCCTTCTATCTTTGTTATTTAGTTATTCAAGTTAGTTGACAGAGTTAGTTTATCAATTGTTTATCCAATGCAGTTCAGAAATGACCAAGCACAAGTGTGTTTTACCTTCTATAGAGGAATCAGCATTGATGTAGGCCACAGCCCTCTCTTGTAGTATTTTGACGTTTTCCTACAATGGAAAGGAGGAATTGAAAACTAGTTCAGATTAGGGACACAAATATTTCTTTGTGGACTACTGTGCTTTTCACATACAGGTTATCTTTAACTAACAACAGTTCTTTTAGTAAAATTACGATGGCACTGAAAAATGATTGATAACCATTTTTCACACTTACAACCATTGCATCATTCCCATGGTCATGTGATCAAAATTCAGCCGCTTGGCAACTGGCTCGTATTTATGACGGTTGCAGTGTCATATGTTCACCTTTTGCAACCTTCTGATAAGCAAAAGCAATAGGGAAGCCAGATTCACTTCACAACCATGTTACTAAATTAACAACTGCAGATTCATTTAACAACGGTGGCAAGAAAAGTCGAACAGCAGGGCAAACTCACTTAACAACAGTTCCACTTAGCAACAGAAATTTTGGGCTCGATTGTAAATTGAAGGACTATCTGTATAGCTTTGCTATTTTTTATTTTTTTTATTTTTAAACAAACATACATAAAAACATAAAAACATCTTCAATTACATACAGTGTATCGGTTGGTTACAAGTCTTTTGTGCATCTTCACCATATTCATAGCTTACAGTTTACCTAAATTCTTATATTATCGATCTAATATATATCTATGTATTATTGTCCTCATTGATCATTTATTTGACAATAGCTATTCTTCCCTCATTTTGTACAAAATATTCTAAGATTTGAGTTAATTTATATTATAACATTCATTTCATCACTAAATCGATCCAATAATAATGCATCTTTATGTTATATTTTATATAATTCTACAATTCTTGTATTATAAAAATCTCTATCTTCTTTCATTTCCATACTTTTTTATCTAACCATTGATAAAATAAGTCCCATATCTTATAATATTGTTTATCTTCTTGTTCTCTAATTTCAAATGTCAATTTGCTCATTTCAGCACATTCCATTATTTTCTTCATAACTTCATCTTGCGTTGGTATTTTCTCAATTTTCCAATTTTTAGCAAACACAATTCTAGCCGCTGTTTAGCTTTGCTATTTTAAATGATCCATCACAAACCTAACTCCACAGGTGACACTCAATTTATACTAGCCTCCATTATTATCCTGAATTTTAAAGTTTGATTCCCCCCCTCATTTTTATTAATTATAAATCATTTTTATCATTTTTATTAGTTACAACACTCTCAGGGGTCCTCAAAATCAAAATTACTTGCAAGATATTGAAGATATTTGCCAAAATTTAAAGCAACGACACTAGTTTAAAAGAAAGTACAGGATTTTTTTTTCATTAAAAATAATTAATGTTAATGTACATCAGTGGTCCCCAACCTTTTTATCGCCGCGGCCCGCTGAGCGCGCGCAGGGGTGGGGGCACGGCCCAGGAGCTTTTGCGCACGGCCCATTGCGCACGGCCCAGGAGCTTTTGCACACGGCCCAGGAGCCTTTGCGCTGCAGCGTTCATGTCCCCCGGCCGCTGCGCGGCCCGGTGCCAGGTACTCCACGGCCCGGCACCGGTCCACGGACCGGGGGTTGGGGACCACTGATGTACATAATCAACTTTGTTGACTTACCTCTGCCCATTCTGTTGATCCCATTAAGCCAAACTCCTCAGCATCCCAACTAGCAAAAATTACCGTCCTCCTGGGTCGCCAACCTATATTTATAATATTTAGAATGTTGGTTTAATAGTGAAAGTGAAACCAACCCAAATAACAATATCTGTACCCTGCTTCCTCTGTTTTAAATTCTCATTTAAATTCTTTAAATTGTTTTTCAGCAGTTTATGAACAAGAAGCAGGCACTTAGAAGTGGGATATAGAGGGGTAGTCCCAGTTTACATCATGCTAAAACAAAATTTTAAAAAAATCAAATCTGTTAACTGTGCCCAAGAAACTAACCTCATGACCTCACCAATACCAGCAGGGCAAGCTACTGTATGTAAACAGGGAGCAAACCAGAGATGGGTTTCAGCAGGTTCTGACCAGTTCTGGAGAACCGGTAGCAGAAATTTTGAGTAGTTCGGAGAACCGGTAGTAAAAATTCTGACTGGCCCTGCCCCCATCTATTCTCTGCCTCCCAAGTCCCAGCTGATCGGGAGGAAATGGGGATTTTGCAGAAACCTTCCCCTGGAGTGGGGTGGGAATGGAGACTTTACAGTATCCTTCCCCTGCCATGCCCCCCAAGCCACAGCCACAGAACCGGTAGTAAAAAATGTTGAAACCCACCACTGGAGCAAACCCCACACTCACTAGCACTGATGATGTTATCTAACTGGGTAATGAAATGTCTGCCAATAAACAACCAAGCTCACACAGCACAAAGGACTCCATAGTTCAATCCTGAGTAGAGCTACATAGAATCTCTTCCATTGGAACCAGGAAAGTATGCTATACTCAATGGGACTAATTTTTACATTGATGTTTATAGGATTGATTTCATTTTTTCCCCCTTTTTTGTCTTTGCTTTCTTAAGCTACTATTTCTGCATAATGCATTCTAGAACAGTTATTCTGCATGTGTCGCTTGGTATAGAATTTTTGCTTTCAGAAGCTGTGAAGGTATATTTTGATCAAATACATATGGCAATGAAGGCAGTTGAGAAACTTTGCATTGGAATGATAATGTGAAGTTTCCAAAAGATGCCCTAATTAATTCATGAACCATGAGCCGAACTTCAAAAGAAATACAGTCATTTATTAGGAGCACCATTTCGGCAATATTCGGATGCAGTTAGAACTAATCCCACGTAGATTTACGTTCCCCTATGACCCTGTCTCTCCCCTCCTCTCTGGCCATGTCATAAATCACATTCCCCAATTAACCACTTTGGCTGGTTGTGAAATCCAACACCCTCCTTCTGATTGCGGTCAGGAAGAATGTATGGAATGCACTTCAGTTAGGGAAATCAATCAGCTCTATCAGTTCTCCCTCCCTCCTGCTCATGGCAACTTGAAAGCTTTGCAAGTTGACATTCTGCTCCCCTCACTTCCCGAGGGCGACAGATAATAGTAATCTTGATGATACAAACCATTTTAATATCTTATATTTTCTGTACCGGAGTTGCACCCCCAAAAAACTACTCTTAGCTTTGTTTAGATTCCTGTTTTAAATTGTTGCATAGTTGCATTATTTAGCAATAGCACTTAGACTTATATAAGGAGTGGCCTAGAGGTAGAGTTCTTGCCTCATAATCAGGAGGCTGTGGGTTCAATCCTAGGTAGAGGCAGACATTTCTCTCTCTGGGCACAATGAGAATATATCTGTTGAACAAAACTCCACACAAAACTTTCCCACTTTTCTTTTGGTATTTCTCAACTTCAGCAACTTCAAGTTGTTTGGCCTTACCTTCCTGTTTCAGCTTCCCAAAACTTCGGACGATCTCATGAACAACGGCAGCCCCACTCTGCGGATCAATCCCGCCAAACACCCATGAATCACGGTGGCCACCCAGAATGACGTATCTATCTGGATCGAAAGGGATGAAAAAGCTTTACGTTATGATAATGAAGTTGGTAAAAGTTCACCAAAAGTGGCCTGGAAAAAGATGAATCCTGTCTTTTATTATTTTAAAAATGAGACTTAAATGAGAAATTGATACCCCTGAGTAGGATTGTCTTAATTTACGCGAACACTTCTGGAGTCCAGTTCTGTTCCCATGCATGTCCTGAAGGCATCCATCGGCAGGGACTAAACTATGAATGCTATTCATGCTAAGAAAGAGTGGAGGGTGCCCTACAGATGATCTTAGAACACAGAACATAGAATAATAGGACTGGAAGGGAATTTAGCATCTTCTAGTCCAATCCTCTGCTCAAGCAGGAAACCCTATATCCGTGATGGCGAACCTGTGGCACGCGTGCCAGAGGTGGCATGCAGAGCCCTCTCTGTGGGCACATACACTGGCCATCTGTTCTTCATGGGCGCCAGAAAACAGCCAAAAAACAGGCCAAAAAACAGGCATGTGTGCGCCAGTCAGATGGTCTTCGGATTTCCGGCGCTCCGGTGCACGCATATGCACACACATGCATGCGTGTTCCAGTTTGGGCACTCGGTGCCGAAAAGGTTTGCCATCACTGCCCTATATCATTCCAGATAAGGATAAGGATAAGGATAATTTTATTTCTATACCGCCCCTCTCCCGAAGGACTCGGGGCGGTGTACAGCCAGGTAAAACACAATACAAATATCACAATTTAAATTTAAAAATTCTTAAAGTTATTACATTTAAGGCCAAAATTAGCTAAAAAACCCCCCAAAATTTAAGAACTCCGAATTTAAAACTTAATTATGAAGCTAGCCCTGCCTGTCGGAAGAGCAGGGTCTTAAGAGCACAGCAGAAAACTCGGAGGTCAGAGATCTTGCGTATGTCCGGGGGCAGTTCATTCCAAAGGGCAGGGGCTCCCACAGAGAAGGCTCTCCCCCTGGGTGTCGCCAGTCGACATAATTTGGCTGACGACACCCTGAGGAGTCCCTCTCTGTGGGAGCAAACTGGTCGGTGGGAGGCTATTGGCGGCAGAAGGCGGTCTCATAAGTACCCAGGTCCTGAGCCATGGAGCGCTTTAAAGATGGTAACCAACACCTTGAATTGCATCCGAAAGACCACTGGGAGCCAGTGCAGCTCGCGCAGGAGAGGTGTTATATGGGCGCAACGAGTTGCACCCATAATTACCCGCGCGGCCGCATTCTGGACCAGTTGGAGCCTCCGAGTGCTCTTCAAGGGGAGCCCCATGTAGAGAGCATTACAGTAGTCCAGCTGTATGGCTGTAGTCATACAGTAGTCCAGCTGTATGGCTTGTCCAGTCTCTTCTTGAAACCCTCCAGTCATGGAGCAGCCACAACTTCCGGAGGTAAGCTGTTCCACTGACTAATTGTTCTCGTTGTTAGGAAATTTCTCCTTAGTTCTAGGTTGGTTCTTTCCTTGATTAGTTTCCATCTATTGGTTCTTGTCCTGCCCTCAGGTCAGGGGTGAAATCCAGGAGGTTCTGACAGTTTCTGGAGAACCGGTAGCGGAAATTTTGAGTAGTTCGGAGAACCGGCAAATGCCACTTCTGGCTGGGCCCAGAGTGGGGTGGGAATGGAGATTTTGCAATATGCTTCCCCCAGGAGTGGGGAGGGAATGGGGATTTTGCAATATCCTTCCTCCAGGAGTGGGGTGGGAATGGAGATTTTGCAGTATCCTTTCCCTGCCACGCCCACCAAGCCACGCCCACTAAGCCACACCACGCCCACCAAGCCACGCCCACAGAACTGGTAGTAAAAAAAAATGGATTTCACCACTGCCTCAGGTGCTGTGGAGAATAGGTTGACCTCCTCTTCTCCCTAACAGCTTCTCAGATACTGGAAGACCACTATCATGTCGCCCCTTAGGTCCTTCTCTTTATTTGATTAGACAAACCCATTCCTGGAAACCATTGTTTGAAAATGTGTTATAACGCAAAACAAAACCTTTACCTGGCTCTGTTGCTCCTCGGAGAATTCCAATCACATTGTAAATCCGTCTCACTTGCTTGAAGCTGTAGATGTGCATTCTCACTTTTCTAGTGCAATTAAAGGGAAAAAAAAATCAGTGTTATCCTCAGGCTAAACATCCTTAAAAGTGAAACAGCTGGATTCCGAAAAAGGGCAGGGCTTGTATTCTACACTACACTCAGTGGTGGGATTCAAATAATTTAACAACCAGTTCTCTGCCCTAATGACTGGCTGGGTGGGCGTGGCCAGAGTGTGTGACAGGCAGCACGAGGCTTCCTGCAACCCCCCTAGGAGCAAAAATGGGCCACGGGGGGGGCATCACCCCCGTGCCCCATTTTGGGCCTAGTAGGCCTCCCTGCACTTACCTGGGAGCCAAAACGGGGTGCGTGGGGACTCCTGGAAGGGGTGGGGAGAGGAGGGGCCAGCCAGCAATTTAACAACCGTTTTGGCCGAATCGTCCCGAACCAGCTGAATCTCACTACTGACTACACTTCATTGTACCACTCATAGGCATACAATCAAATATGGCATCCTGAGGCTGCTGGGTTTTTTTTCTTTTTTTAATAAATTTTATTAATTTTCTATAATTACATTCCTTAGTGCTTAATCAACATCGTGTTGTCTGGGTATTTAATTTGCTTAACAATACAAATGCCATTCTTACTCTCCACCCCTTTTTTCCAACCACTGATAAAATAAATTCCAAGTCTGACAATATTCCGTGTCTTCTTTCTGTATGATTTTCAATGTACGCCTGTCCATTTCTGCACAGTCTCATATGTTCTTAATTATCTCTTCATCTTGAGGTGATTTTTCATCTTTCCAATATTGTGCAAGGATAATCGTCGCTGCTGTTAAAACATCTAATACTAAATACATACCATATTTTTCGGAGTATAAGATGCATCTTTTTGCCCCCTAAAAGGGGGTGAAAATTTAGATGCGTCTTATATACCGAATGTAGCCCCGCCCACCCAGGCCTCCACCCTTTGGCCTCTGCCTCGCAGCAGTTACCTCCTTGCAAGCAACCAGCAAGAAAAAACAGCTCCTTTCAGCTTCAGCACAGCCTAATTAGCACAAGTTGATTGGATCGGCCTCCTGACTCTCAGCTGATTTGCTCTCAGCTGTTTTGTGCAGGCCTCTGCTGCTTGCTGCAAAGAGGTAAATTGCTGGAGCAGATTTTTTTTTTCCTTGTGCTAATCAAGCTATGCTGAAAACAAAAATGAAAGTAAAGCAGGCTGTTTGCTGTAACAAGACAAAATTGCTCAGAGGCAGGGGGAGATTTCTTTTTCTTCTTTTCCTCATCAAAAAAGATAGGTGCATCTTATACGCCGAAAAATACAATACTTCTCTTATCATTTTTTTCTGGTATCATCCCTAATAAAAACAGTTACAGCTGCTGGTTTTTGGGGGTTTTTTCTGAGAGATGCACATGATGAAACTCCTTCAGGAAGATTGCCAGTAAAAACCAGGCCGTACAGTGTCAAGAGTTTTTTGCAGAAATCACATCCAGAAAGCACACACAGATAACTGATTCAGCAGGATTCATTTAACTTCTCTTTATATACATAATAACACATACAATATCAACAGCAGATTCTTCCAAGGGGTAGAGAGTTACAGGCGAAAAACACAGGCAGAGGAGACAACAGTAGAGACGAGTTTCAGTTTCAATTCAGCAGACAGACTACCGTATTTTTCAGAGTATAAGACGCGCCTTAGTTTTTGGGGAGGAAAATAAGAAAAAAGCTGATTGGCAGGTGGATCGGCCTCCCGGAATACCCCCAATCAGCTGTTCCCAGAGGTGAATTTTAGCAACAGGTTCCTTGGTTGTGAACTCTGTGCCTTGCCTTTTTTTTTTTTTTTTGCTTTTTTTTCTGCCTCTGAAACTTCTGAAACTCCATTTCAGAAAAAAACTTTTTTTCCTGCCTCTGAAAGCCTCCGAAACAGAGCTTCAGAAAAAAAAGCCTCTGAAGCTCTGTTTGGGGGCTTCTTTTCTGAAGTTCTGTTTGGGGGCTTTTTTTCTGAAGCTTCTTTTCTGATGCTCTTTTCAGCCTCTGAAACCTCCCTTTGAGAAGCTGGGTGGGGCTACATTCAGAATATAAAACGCACCCAGATTTTCACCCTCTTTTTTGGGGGAAAAAGGTGCGTCTTATACTTCGAAAAATACGGTAGTTTGCAACTCAGAGCTTAATACAGAAAAAGAGAACCTCCTCTATATAGGTCAGTTAAACTAAGCCTAAGCCACGCCCAGGCTCCTAGCTGTCTCCAGCAAATACTGTTTCAGTTTCCAAACAGTCTCCATTGGCTGTCCCAGTTGCTATGCCTATTCATTGGCTGACCTTGTTACCATGTCTGTGCCAGTCATGAATTCTCTGACATAAACTTTCATTTCATACAAAATTTTGGGGCTGGAGGAGGTCATAATTCAAATGGACACTAAGCAAGGATTACCTGAATTACTCCAAGCAGCTGCTCCACTTCATTTCATGAGAGAGAGGGTTTGTCAACTAGCAGTCATCAGTTACCTCTCGACCTATCCCATTCTAAAAGAGAATGTGTGTTTTTTTTCTCCTCACCCTTTTGTTTTATTTATTATTTACTTCTTAAACAGGTTTTACCAGAGTTTCCATGAAACTTGTCCTCACCTTTTTGAAGAAGTTCCTGTAAAGCCAGGTCCCACGTTATAGGGCACGGAAAGCTGCCCCTTCCAGCTGTCATCGGGTGCAGGAGCCCCTCCTATTTCTCTGTTGGAAGCAAGAAAAGTTACAACCCTCTTACTTCAGGAAATAGGTTCACTTGGAATTTAAAAGAAAAAGTATTCTTCCATTTTCCAAGAAATGAAAATATATTCTTGCTGACACTGAATTTGAAATGGGGAGGGGATTTTGAATTCTCATCCCCTTAATGCTTCAGATAGATAGATGGATGGATGGATGGATAGATAGATGGATGGATGGATGGATGGATGGATGGATGGATGGATGGATGGATGGACGGATAGGTAGGTAGGTAGGTAGGTAGGTAGGTAGGTAGATGATAGATAGATGATAGATAGGCAGGCAGGCAGGCAGGCAGAGAGAGAGAGAGAGAGAGAGGCAGGCAGGCAGGCAGGTAGTCAGATAGAGTGACAGAAAGAGAGAGACAGAGACAGAGATAGACAGACGATAGATAGATAGATAGATAGATAGATAGATAGATAGATAGATAGATAGATAGATAGATAGATGATAGATATTATATAGATTGAAAGATAGAAATCTAACATTGCTTAGAAGAATTGCAATAATAAGGTAGGAGAATAAATGAATGAATGAACGAATGAACCAGTCAATCAATCAGTCAATCAGTCAGTGAATCAATCAATCAATATATTCATTTATATACTGTCGACATATATAAACAAGGATAAGGGATAAAGCTGAAGAAAACCAACTCCTCGTACAGCGTGTTCTTCTGAATATTCATTTCTCTCTTTTATAAGCAGGTGTTGCAAAATTAAGGTTCACTACAATGCAGAGAGTTTTCTTCAAAAAACGATCTACTACTGCCTTCCGTCCTCTTCTCTCTACATCCTACATCCTACAGCAGTTCAAGTCGCACCCCGACTGATGGCTGGTTGCATCGTGACAGTTTGAATTTATAACTGACTTCCCCAGCCCACTGACCAAGAGTGATATAAGGCTCGTATCATTAGGACTTACTTTAGCAGCTTCTCAGCGTCATGATAACCAATGGGGTGGACAGGAATATTTAAGTTTGCTGCACTTTGAGCTTCCTTCAAGCGATAGGCATATTCTGGAGGAAGAAAGGCACCAATTACTGTAGTGTATACTGAGGACAATTCAGGAGGCTGATTGTCCCCTTTGAAACCATACTTGGTTGAAGGCCTGGATAACTGCAAGGTCATCTTTTGTCTGTCTCCCAATAGGTTGCAGTGGGGTGGACTTGCCCCATATCTCATATCCCAGGGACTGAGGCAGTGGTGGATTTCAAATATTTTTACTACCGGTTCTGTGGGTGTGGCTTGGTGGGCGTGGCATGGCTTGGTGGGTGTGGCTTGGTGGGCGTGGCAGGGAAGGATACTGTAAAATCTCCATTCCCTCCCCACTCCAGGGGAAGGTTACTGTAAAATCCCCATTTCCTCCCGATCAGCTGGGACTTGGGAGGCAGAGAATAGATGGGGGTGGGGCAGTGGTGGATTCCTCCCGGTTTGGCCCGGTTCAGCCCGGTTCAGCCGAACTGGTAGTGGTGACGATATGACGTCAACGAACCGGTTCTCTTTGTTTGGGAGCTAGGCCCTCCCGCCCACCCCACCCACCCCTCGCGTTATTCTTACCTTTTATTTGGCCCCACCCCCAATCTATTGCTGCCTCCCAAGTCCCAGCTGATCGGCTAGAAGGAAAAAAACTGTTTAAACTCTTGCCGCCGGGCTTCAAAGAGCCGCCCTACAGCTGATCAGTGTTAAAAGGCAGTGTGGTGGTAGACCGGTGCCTCCAAAAACAAATGAGTAGACCGGTGCCTCCAAAAACAAATGGGTAGACTGGTGCCTCCAAAAATGAATGAGTAGACCAATGCCTCCCAGAAACAAATGGGTAGACCAGTGCCTCCAAAAACGAATGAGTAGACCGGTGCCTCCCAGAAACAAATGGGTAGACCAGTGCCTCCAAAAACGAATGAGTAGACCGGTGCCTCCAGAAACAAATGGGTAGACCAGTGCCTCCAAAAACGAATGAGTAGACCAGTGCCTCCAGAAACAAATGGGTAGACCAGTGCCTCCAAAAACGAATGAGTAGACCAGTGCCTCCAGAAACAAATGGGTAGACCAGTGCCTCCAAAAACGAATGAGTAGACCAGTGCCTCCAGAAACAAATGGGTAGACCAGTGCCTCCAAAAATGAATGAGTAGACCAGTGCCTCCAGAAACAAATGGGTAGACCAGTGCCTCCAAAAACGAATGAGTAGACCAGTGCCTCCAGAAACAAATGGGTAGACCAGTGCCTCCAAAAACGAATGAGTAGACCAGTGCCTCCAGAAACAAATGGGTAGACCAGTACAGCTCTGCAAGCAGTTAAAAGCCTGGTAGACTAGTACCTCTGCTAAATCCTAAAGAATTGTCACATGACCATCAAGCCACACCCACAAAATAAGCCATGCCCACAGAACCGGTAGTAAAAAAATTTAGAACCCACCCCTGGGGTGGGACCAGTCAGAATTTTTACTACCGGTTCTCTGAAGTACTCAAAATTTCCGCTAGCAGTTCTCCACTAGCAGGTCGGAACCTGCTGAAACCCACCTCTGGACTGAGGTATGCAGGAACTTCAGAAACATAATTTAAAAGAGCAGTTCAGATCAGTGGTGAAATCCCAAAATTTTTACTACTGGTTCTGTGGCCGTGGTTTGGTGGGCATGGTATGGCTTGGTGGGTGTGACAGGGAAAGGATACTGCAAAATCTCCATTTCCACCCCACTCTGGGGCCAGCCAGAAGTGGTATTTCCCGGTTCGTTGAACTACTCAAAATTTCCGCTACCGGTTCTCCAGAACTTGTCAGAACCTGCTGAATTTCACCCCTGGTTCAGATGCTTAAGACCTCTACCAACAATGGAACTGAAAAGCCACCTTTCTGAAGTTTCTGAAGCAAAATGGCAATCCTTGAGACAGGGGATTTGGCGACAGTGACTACATGGACAAATCCACATGGTGTTCTCAACAACACAATATGACACAATTTGCCCTTATCTTCCTCTAGGAGAGAGTTCCCCAATCTTTTTGGGTTGGCAGCCTGGAGCTGGGGGAGGGGAAAAGAGGAAATGATTTTGTGGTAGGGCAGGCACATGTGGGACTGTAAGCAGCCACAACGAGGCTCGTGTGAGTGGGACCACAATTGCCCATGATGACACTTGTGCAAATGGAGCCGCAAGCACTGCAATGATGATCTCATGAGTGGGGCTGCGACCACCCAGCATAACCTGAATATGTGAATTGGTTCATGCACACACTCTTATCCTTAACCATTACTCTTCATATTAAAGGTAACGGTAAAGGTTCCTCTCGCATATATGTGCTAGTCATTCCTGACTCTAGGGGGCGGTGCTCATCTCCGTTTCAAAGCCAAAGAGAACCAGCGCTGTCCGAAGACATCTCCATGGTCATGTGGCCAGCATGACTAAATGCCAAAGGTGCACGGAACGCTGTTACCTTCCTACCAAAGGTGGTCCCTATTTTTCTACATGCATTTTTTATGTGCTTTCGAACTGCTAGGTTGGCAGAAGCTGGGACAAGTAACCGGAGCTTACTCTGTTATGCAGCACTAGGGATTCGAACCACTGAACTGCCGACCTTTTGATCGACAAGCTCAGTGTCTTACTGCCTCAGCCATCTCACCATAGCCATCTCTCCACAGTCAACCTGTCGTGGCCATCTTGCCACAGTCAACTCATCATGGGACAGCTCGCCGTGGCCCACGTGGTGGGGGACAACTCACCATGGGACAATTCCATGTGGGATAATGCTACACAATAAATGTTATCCATCACTGTTTTGGTAACATTATTTCTGTTTTGGCAATGGAAATAATGTTGAAGAAACAGTGGTGGATAACATTTATTGGTTGACTTATCCCAACTCAACGCAATAAATATGGCATTGTCCAACAGCTAGTTGGCCACAGCAAGATGTCTGCAGCTAGTTGTCCAATTCCTGTCTCAATTGTATCTATTCAACAAATAAAAAACACAATCAAATGCTATTTTCTTAAGACACTGTTCTCACAAGTACCTGAACCTCAAGTTGTGCCTCTTTTAGAATGCATCCAGTGGAGGGATTCATCCGGTTTGGACCGGTTCGGGTGAACCACTAGTTAAATTGTTTGCTGGCCCCACCCCTTCCCATCCCAACCCTTCCAGCAGTCCCCACACACCCCATTTTGGCAGGGAGGCCTCCTAGGCCCAAAATGGGGCGCAGGAAGGCAGAGTGTCCCCCTGCAGCTCGGTTTTGCTCTCAGAAGGCTTCAGGGAGGTTTTCTAGGCCCGTTTTCGCTTACCAGGAGGCTTCAGGGAGGCTTCCTAGGCCCATTTTTGCTCCCAGGGGGCTGCGGGGAGGCCTATTAAGCCCAAAATGGGGTGCAGGGGGGGCGTGTTCCACCTGCGGCCCATTTTCGCTCCTAGGGGGGTGCAGGAGACTTAGTGCTGCCTGTCATACCCCCTGGCCATGCCCACCATAAGGGCAAAGAACCGGTTGTTAAATTATTTGAATCCCACCACTGCATGCATCCCCTAGAAGGTCTCTTCTCTGGTCACCTTTAGCTGGATATCCTGGAGTGAGAGGATCCCCAGCACCATCCAGAAGGAGGATGTTGCCACGTTGGGCTCCACCTCCTGGCAGATTCCAGCCATCTGGGTAAGACTGAACTCCAGGAGCACAAGAATCAGCAGGGTCCGAGTATAAAATGATGCCTTTGGCTCCAGCCAGGTAAGCATTCTTAACCTAGAGATAAACAGGATTGGTGAACTATATAATTTTATTCACATAGCTAAAAAAATAAATAAATCCATAGTTTGACTAGTAGAATAGCAATAGCATTAGCACTTAGACTTACAGTATATTCTCCTTTACAGTGCTTTTACAGCCCTCTCTAAGCGTTTTACAAACTCAGCCTATTTCCCCTAACAATCTGGGTCCTCATTTTACCCACCTCGGAAGGATGGAAGGCTGAATCAACCTTGAGCCTGGTGAGATTCGAACTGCCAAACTGCAGGCAGCCAGCAGGCAGCAGAATTAGCCTGCAGTACTGCACTCTCACCACTGCGCTATTAAGGCTCTGATGTTATACAATAGAACAGAATAACAGAGTTGGAAGGGACCTTGGAGGTCTTCTAGTCCAACCCCCTGCTCAGGCAGGAAACCCTCTACCATTGTAGACAAATGATTGTCCAATCTCTTTTTAAAAACTTCCAGTGTTGGAGCATTCACAACTTCTGGAGGCAAGCTGTTCCATTGATTAATTGTTCTAATTGTAAGGAAATTTCTCCTTAGTTCTAAGTTGCTTCTCTCTTTGATTAGTTTCCACCCATTGCTTCTTGTCCTGCCCTCAGGAGCTTTGGAGAATAGCTCCCTCTTCTTTGTGGCAGCCCCTGAGATATTGGAACACTGCTATCATGTCTCCCCTAGTCCTTCTTTTCATCAAATTAGATTTAACTAATTCTTGCAACCGTTTTTCATATGTTTTAGCCTCCCACCCCCTCATCGTTTTTCGGTTTCTCATAAGCATCCCCCTGAAAAGCAAACCTCATAACCTCTTACCTTATTTCCTCTGAAGATCTTCCCATATCTTACAATGACAATTTTCCCGGAACAATTAATTCCCATCTCTCGCTCTAATCTGTGGAAATCCTCTATCCTGCCATAGTTCACATACACCAAATCTCCCTGGAATACAAAAGGTGTGTTAATGACACATAAAGATGGAAGCGGGGAAGTTCCAAAGTGCACCCACTCAGCCATGCTTTCCTTCATTTGTTTGTCCGTTTCAAATTTCAGTAAAAAGTTTATACGTTTTAGCCATTACACATTCATCATTTGAACACAATGCCATTTCAAAATTCGGTCTTGCAATGTTCAAAACCACAAACCCCTTTTGTCTGCTTTAAAACTTTCTAATAACTGCAAATAAGAAAAACATTGTTAACTCTATCCATTTGCCACTCAGAAGCTAAGTAGTGCTGAGTTTGGTTAATTTCGAATTAGAGACCACTTACTGTCTCAGTGCTGAACCTGGTTAATACTTGGATGAGACATTATTAGTCCATGATGGCAAACCTATGGCATACATGCCAGAGGTGGCACCCAGCACTCTCTCTGATGGCACATGAGTCATCGCCCCAATTCAGCTCCATCCCAAGCCTGGGTTTCACTTACCTTTACCACCAATTTGCCCCCTGCGCACACAGTTGCTTCACACATGCACATACGCTGTCCACGGATGCACCCAGCCTTGAAAATGTGCCTAAATAGCCTGACTTGGAGCCGAGGTGGGCGGGGCGGGGGGGGGGCGGGCCCACCCACAATCACCGCTACCAATTCGCCTGAACCGGTCCGAACCAGCTGAATACTACCTCTCATCTGGATCAGTGGTGAAATGTAAAATTTGTTACTACCGGTTCTGTGGGCGTGGCTTGGTGGTGGTGGTGGTGGGGTAATGTGCCTGGGTGGGCGTGGCCAACTTTTTTTTTTTTACCTTTTAAAACCATTTTTTCTACAACCTCTTCGGCCGAAGAGAGTGTAAAAAAATGCTTTTAAAAGTCTCTGACGATCAGGCAACTCAACTGGGATCGTCAGAGGCTTTTAAAAGCATTCTTTCTACAACCTATGCTTTTAAAAGCCTCTGACGATCCCAGCTGAGCCGCGCAATCATCAGAGGCTTTTTTTTTTTTACTTTTAAAAGCATTTTTTCAGCTGAAGAGGTTGTAGAAAAAATGCTTTTAAAAATATAAAAAAAGCTTCTGATGATTGCGCGGCTCAGCTGGGCATGGGGGTGGGGTGGGCAGGGATTTTTGCTACTGTTTCTCCGAACCACCCGCTGCCATCACTACCGGATCGGGTGATCCAATCCGAACCGGGAGCATTTCACCCCTGGTCTGGATGATTGAGAATCTCCACAGACATATAACGTAGAACTTTGCAGATCTAAATGCAGCCCCAATGCCTTTTAATCCTTACCTCTGGCTCACCCTGGGCTGAGAAAGCACTATAGGGTGGAACAATGTCTTCAACAGTCTCATATCCTGCAGGAACGGGCTCAGATAGAGATGTGTTGAAAATCTAGATAGTAAAGAAGCCACAAGAGGGGGAAAATGGCACATAAAAGCAACATCTGATTTATCCAACTTGGGTGTGGGTTGAGGGAAGGGATGGAAATTCATTTAAAAAACAAAGGGGGCATTTGCCAAGGGTCCACCAAATTGAAGCCAATTTAACTAAACTCTAAAAACAATGGCTGTGTTTGTCTAGCATACAATGCCCAAATAATCTCTGTGTGATGCCTTCATGTAATCATTAAGGCAAAGGTCTCCAAACATCACCATTTTAAGACTTGTGGACTTCAACTCCCATAATTCTTCAGCCAGCACGGCTGCATTACCCTGCATTAAGGCAATGGAGTGATTTGCACAACATAATTAATTTTGAACTACAGGTAGTTCTCAATTTATGACCATTCATTGAAGATCAGAGTTACCATGGTGCTGAAAAAAATTTACTTACAACCCGTCTTTGCATTTATAATTGTCACAACAACCCTACAGTCATCTGATTGTAATTTGGGCACTTAGCAACTGGCTCCCATTTACAATATTTGCAGCATCCTTAAGTCACATGATCATAAGTTGAGACCTTCCCAGCCATCTTCTAATGAGCAAAGTGGAGGAAGACAAATTGATTTAAGGACCACATGATTTACTTAGAAACTGCGTAATTTGCTTAATGTCTGTGGTGGTTTGCTCAACGGCCATGATAAAAACAGTTGCAAAGTTGGGTCCGGTCACGTGATCACTTATTTAATGTCCACATCACTTAGCAATGGAATTCCTAGTCCCAATTATGGTCAAAGAATCATTCTATACCAGTGACCCTCAACCTTTCGGGCATCAGGGACTGATTCTGTGGAGAAAGGGTTTTATTCTGCCCCAGCTACGGACTCCAAAGAATGCAGCACACACAAAGTCCGTTCAAACCTTAGTTTACTAAATAAACCAGTCTTTTACAATAACAGCTGTTAATTACTTGCATTAACAGCCACCAAGAATTCAAAGAATAATAACTGAAAGCTTACTATGGTTGGCAGAATGCCCAGAAGCAATTTGCAGGAAGCTGATAAGATACGCTAGACAAGACACAAAGATATATGAACAAAGTTGTTCCCTGCAAATTGCTTCAGTCGGCGTTCCTCCTTAAATAGGCTAAGGGAGTGGCCAATTAGCCCCAAGCCTTACTCTCGAGGAGACCTCCTCCTGAGGAGCCACTCCTGCCTTTTGGCAGCTCTGCGCGCCCATGCATCGAGAAGAGGCTCTGCCTCTTCGTCCTCTTCACTTAAGGGAGCTTCTGGAGGTTCTGAAGGCCCTGGCTGAATCCCCGCCTCTGGCACCACATCTTCTCTAGCCTCCTCATTGTCCGACTCAAGTGCCAGCTGCACAGGCTGCTGGCGCAGCACCACACCAGCCTCCTCGCTGTCTGAATCAGCTACTAGCTGCACAGGCCGCGTATGGGCCACAACAGGTTTTCTGTGGACCGGAGGGGGCGTGGCTTCATGTGCTGCCTGCTTCCTGCAAATGAGGCTTCACTTGTTTGCACAACCTGGTTTCTGGCATGCCGTGGCCCAGTACTGGTCCACCTATCGGGGTTTGGGGACCTCTGCTCTCTACAACTCCATGTTAGCTTAGCGCAGGGGTGTCAAACACAAGGCCCACAGGCCAGACACAGCCTGCAATGTGGTTGGATCTGACCCGCAGGGCTGTCCTGGAAAGTGTAAGGGGCTGGCCCATGTTGCTTCAGTCTGGTCTACCGAGTGCAAAGAGGAAACATCAGGCCCGCGTGGCTTCAGCCCGGTCTACCCAACACAAAGAGGAAACATGCCCGCAGTTTGGGGAGTGGCACTCAGTTGGCCATGCCCACCCAGTCGACCATGCCTGCCCCCCCGCCCCCGATCAACCACAACTCTGATGTGGCCATCAATGAAATTGAGTTTGACACTCCTGGCCTAGTGTATCAGGTTGTGAAATCTACTCTGTTGTTGTGGCCCACCAGTGGCGGGCAGAATCAGACAGTGAAGAGGTTGGGGAGGAACTTGGACCAGTCCTGGGGGCTGGGGAAAGCTCAGACAAGGGCTCTGTGTCGGAGGCAGAGCGGGAGCTAGACAGCAGCAAGGCAGAGGAAGAGCTGGAGCCCAATCCCGGTGTGCTTATGCACAGAGCTGCCAGAAGACAAGAACAATTAAGAAAGCAGGGTCGACTCAGGAGTAAAACCACAACATGGAGATAATTGGCCCCTCCTATAGGAAATAAAAGAGGAGCAAACAGGGAGTGGGCTTTTGCAGGAAACCATTCATTCATTCATTCCGTGACTCAGAGAGACTCTGTTCCAAGTTTGGCCTTGTACTGCAGTTGGAAACAAATTACGTGGCAGCTTGCCAAACGAGATAAGGTGTGTTGAGAAATATTCCTTTGAAAAACTGTTCGGACAAACCTTGTTGACTGTGAATGAACCTAATTCACAGTCGTGTAAATAAAAGAGGTTTTGCCAGTTATTTCTGCCTCCTGCTTGTTAAGGGAGCCTAAATCAGAACATCTGTATACATAATCCACCCCTTCTCCTTTACCTCTTGGCCACGCTCATCGATGAGTGAGATATAATTAGGACTCGTCTCATTGGGGTAGGAAAGCAGAACATCATAAGGTACCAGTTGCACCGAGTCTAGGCCAAATGCCTTCCAATTCGCTTGTATCTGTTCAGCTAGGTGCAGATTCTCCTGTGTGCCTGCCAAGTGAGGCTGCTGGGTGAAATTGCTAGAAGAAAGGAGATGGTGTTATTGACTTGATAGTAGAAAACAAACTTTTCTTTATATTTGCATAGACCAGTGACGGCTAACCTTTTCCGGACCGAGTGCCCAAAGTGCACATGTGCATGTGTGAATGCGTGCGTGTGCCCGAACCCCCAAAATGCAATATGCACACAGCCCTTGTGCATGCATCCTGCCCCCGCGCATGCAGGCCGCCCCCTGTGCCCACCCCCCACGCATGGGTGTGTGGACCCCGCAGGCACCCCCATGCATGCATGCATGCATGCCCCACCCCGACACATGCATGCGTGGCCCCCTGCACACACCCCACCGGGGCAGAGACCCAATGACCAGCTGGTTGGCGAAAGGTGCACACATGTGTGGCTGAGCTGAACTGGGGCAACAGCTTGCATGCCCACAGAGAGAGCACTGCATGCCACCTGCTTTTTTTGGTCTGATTTTGAGGCTTTTTTCAGCCCGTATTTGAGACTTTTTGTGGTCCATTTTGGGGGCTTTTTCAGTCCATTTTTGAGGATTTTTAAATCCCATTTTCAAGGCTTTTTTGGCCCATTTTTGGGGCTTTTCTGGCCAGTTTTTGAGGCTTTTTTTAGCCCATTTTTTCTGAAAAAATGAAGGAAGGGAGGGAGGGAGGGAGGGAGGGAGGGAGGAAGGAAGGAAGGAAGGAAGGAAGGAAGGAAGGAAGGAAGGAAGGAGGGCTTGGGATGGAGCAATTTGCACAATCAAATTCTGAACTTGGGAAATTAAGTCTCATACATTGGTTTCCAGCTTGCTCCCTTCCAGATGTGTTTTCAAATCTAGAGGCTCCTATCATCCCAGTACAAAGCTGAGGAAGATGTGTGCTACTGTGTGTGTTTGTGTGTGTGTGTGTGTGTGTTTGTGTATGTTAAGAGCCTGAGTGGCATAGGAGGCTAATGCCTCCTACTAAGGCAGCATTTAACATCCAGCTGCCTGCAATTACTGCGAGTTCAATTCTCACCAGGCTCAAGGTTGACTCAGCCTTTCATCCTTTCTAAGGTGGGTAAATTGAGGACGAAGTTTGTGGGGGCAATAAGCTGACTTTGTATAAAATATACAAAAGTATGAAGGCTATTTCTTAACGCCTTGTAAGCCGCCCTGAGTCTCCGGAGAAGGGTGGCATATAAAAAAAAAAAATCGATATTTCTCTATCTCATTGCTATCTATTTCCAAAACCTTTGCAAAGGCTGCCATATGGTCCCCATTTAGCTTACTAAAGAAATTGCTTGATGCTTTCTGCTTTCATTTCCTTCATGAAGGCCTCCATCATCTTCTCGTGGACATCTGTCCTTGGCAACTGATGGGCATGTTTATTCGCCAGCCAACCTGAAAAGTAAGATCAAACCGATTTCTTATGACATGAAAAGCCAAGAGGTAAATTTTCAAATGCCCCAAATTTTGCAATTCTTCAGACAAGGGTCACCTCCTCACTTGCAAAGGTACCCCAGTTGCGTTAACGCAATTAATCTGGGTGTGGAATTAGCTCACACCCTTCACTTTTTTCATGAACCATAAACTGCAGTACAGCTAGTCCTCAACTTAGGACCACCATTGTGCCTCAAATTTCTGTTGCTAAGTGACACGGTTAAATGAGCGTTGCCTTATTTTATGACTTTTCTTGCTACAGTTGTTCGGTGAATCTGTGCAGTTCTTAAGTTAATAACCTGGATCTTAAGTGAATCTGTTTTCTCCGTTGACTTTGCTTGCCAGAAGGCCACCAAAAGTGATGGCATGACCCCGAGACATTGCAACCGTCATAAATATGAGTCAGTTGCCAAGCGTCTGAATTTGGATCATGCGACCATTGTTGCTGCAAGGATTGTAAACGTGAAAAATGGTCAAAAGTTACATTTTTTTCAGTGCCGCTGTAACTTTGAGGGCTAAAACAAAATGTTGTAAGTCAAGGACTACCTATAATCAATTGGTATGATTGTACACAACAGACTAAGCCAGTGGTGTCAAACTAGATTTCATTGAATGGCCAGGGGGCGTGGCCAGCTTGACATCATTCATGTTGGGGGCATCTGTGGTTTTTTTTTTTTTTTTAAATTTGATTTATATGCCGCCCTTCTCCGGAGACTCAGGGCGGCTTACAATGCGTTAAGCAATAGCCTTCATCCTTTTGTATATTTATACAAAGTCAGCTTATTGCCCCCACAAACTGCGTCCTCAATTTACCCACCTTAGAAAGGATGGAAGGCTGAGTCAACCTTGAGCCTGGTGAGAATTGAACTCGCAGTAATTGCAGGCAGCTGGATGTTAAATGCTGCCTTAGGAGGCATTAGCCTCCTACGCCACTCAGGCTCGAATTTGTGTTGGCCAAGTGCTAACACAAATTCCCTCAGACCCTCCCTCACTCTCATTATATTCTCCTTCCTTCCTTCCTTCCTTCCTTCCTTCCTTCCTTCCTTCCTTCCATCCTTCCTTCCTTCCTTCCTTCCACCCTTCCTTCCTTCCTTTTCTTCTTTTTCCCTCCCTCTTCATTCTTCTTTCTTCTTCCTTTCCCTCTTTCCTTCTTTTTCCATCCTTGCTCTCTTCCCATTTTCCCTTCTTTTTCTTTGTCTTTCCTCTTTCCTTTTCCCCTTTCCTGTCCCTTCTTGCCTGCTCAAATGCAAAAGGGGAAACATTTGTCCTTTTGTTTTGTTTTTAGTTTCTTTTGCTAGCCCTCTGCCAGCAAAACTGAGCTCCATTTTCACTGGCAGAGAACTGTGGGCCGGTCCTTTGCTATTTCCAGGGCACTCTGGGTGACTAACGATTAAAAAAAAAAAATTACAAATAAGACATTTTAAAACAGTAAAAAAAACAATACAAACAGCCAAAATAAGTATAGATAGCAGCCTAGACACTGTATAATTTTTGGTAATTCTTTGTCTAGTTCCTATATATTTCTTCATTAATTGTTCTTTCTTTCTTTCTTTCTTTCTTTCTTTCTTTCTTTCTTTCTTTCTCTTTCTTTCTTTCTTTCTTTCTTTCTTTCTCCTTCTTTCTCTCTCTCTTTTCTCTTCTTCTTTTCTTCCTTCCTTCCTTCTTTCCATTCATTAATTTGTATTTATTAAATTTCTATGCTGCCCATGTCCCCTAAAGATAACACAGTCTTTTTGATTTTGGGTTATTATACTGGCTGCAAACTAGTTTGAAAGAGTTTCATTGATTTAATTGTAGAATACACGTCATCCTCCATTTACAACCCTTCATTTAGTGACCCTACAAAGTTATAACGGCACTTTAAAAGCTGACTTATAAATGTCCCTCCCACTTACGACCGTGGCAGCATCCAAAGAGTAACTCTATCAAAATTTAAGCATTTGGCAACCCCTTTACGATGTTTGCTGCACAATGGAGTTGTGTGACTGTCATTATAACAATTCCCAGGGCTGTTTCAGACAAGCAAAGTCAAGGGGGAAGCTGGATTTGCATAACGACTGCATGAGTTACTTAACAGCTACAGCCGAAGCCCAAAAAAATGGTCATAAAAACCAGGCGTGACTCATTTAACAACTGACATCCTTAGCGACAAGAATTCTGCTCCCAGTTCTGATCTTAAGTCGAAGTCTCCCTATAATGCTTCAGCAGCCTGATCTATGATCTTTCTTTCTTTCCTTCTTCTCTCCCCTCCCCCACCCTCTCTCTTTCTTTCTTAATTTGGCTTAAAAGAAAAAAAAATGTTATCCACCAGGATCATTAATGATTGCACAAAGGATTCCCAAACTTTCCCAAATACTATCATTTCCTAAACACGAATACTTCTGTTTTTCAGAGAAACTGAAAGTAATTTGGATCCTTTCCAACCCACTCCTAACAAGCTGTGGAAACATTTCCCAAGCACGTGAATGCAATTTCCCTTTCCGTAATGAGTGACAGATGAGAGAGAGAGAGGGAGGGAGAGAGGGAGGGGGAGAGAGGGGGGAGGGAGGAGAGAGAGAATGGTTTTTCTACAAGTCCTTTTCTCATCGGGAGCGGGAGAACGACAATATTGTGCAGCCTCAGTCCTACCGATTAAAAATCCCAGAAGAAACAAGATGACAGCTATTCCCACTGCCAGCACCCAGAATCGGATCCGGGGCCCACAGCCTCTGTTCCTTCGGTAGGTGGGTTCGATGCTTGTTCTCAAACTGGTCCACATTCTTTCCAGAGCTGTCGATTTGGCTAATGTTTTCCAGGCTTCTTGCAAACAGCCACACAGGCTCACAGGCTATTATGGAAGGGCCGAGGACAAAGTCTACTCTGCTTTCTTTCCCCAGATCTTGGCTCCTCCTGCAGCTCCTTAAAAGAGAAATCAACCTCCAGAAGGAAAAAAGTTCCAGGCTGGACACCACTCTTGATCCGCAGCCAAAGTTGTCGGCCTGACTCCGTCGCTGCTTCGTCGTTCAGAAGAGCTTCTTTTAGAGCGATGCAAAGAGTGACTCTTTGGGTCTCCGTGTTTTACCACTTGCAACTCCCCAAAGTGGCTTTTTTCCCTAAAGCACATTATTTTCAAGTAATCCAATACTTCCCTCAGTAGTAAAATAATGTTTCTCAAGGAGGAATTGGGGGGGGGGAATGGCAAAGAAAGACAGACACACAGAAAGACGGACCAAGGGAGGGAGGGAGGGAGAGAAGGAAGGAAAAGGAGGAGGAGGAAGGAAGGAAGGGAGGGAGGGAGGGAGGGAGGGAGGGAGGGAAGGAGAGAGAGAGAAAGAAAGAAAAAGAAAGAGAAAGAAAGAAAGAAAGAAAGAAAGAGGGAGGGAGGGAAGGAAGGAAGGACAGAAGGAAAAGGAGCAGGAAGAGGAAGGAAGCAAGGGAGAGAGAGAGAGAAAGAAAGAGAAAGAAAGAAAGAAAGAAAGAAAGAAAGAAAGAAAGAAAGAAAGAAAGAAAGAAAGAGGGAGGGAGGGAGGTAAGGAAGGAAGGAAAGAAGGAAGGAAGGACAGAAGAAAAGGAGCAGGAAGAGGAAGGAAGGAAGGAAGGGAGAGAGAGAGAGAGAGAGAAAGAAAGAAAGAAAGAAAGAAAGAAAGAGGGAGGGCGGGAGGGAGGGAGGGAGGGAAGGAAGGAAGGAAGGAAGGAAGGAAGGAAGGACAGAAGGAAAAGGAGCAGGAAGAGGAAGGAAGGAAGGGAGAGAGAGAAAGAAAGAAAGAAAAAAGAAAGAGAAAAAGAAAGAAAGAAAGAAAAAGAAAGGAAGGAAGAAAGAAAGAAAGAAAGAAAGAAAAAGAAAGAAAGAAAGAAAGAAAGAAAGAAAGAGGGAGGGAGGGAAGGAAGGAAGGACAGAAGGAAAAGGAGCAGGAAGAGGAAGGAAGCAAGGGAGAGAGAGAGAGAGAGAAAGAAAGAAAGAGGGAGGGAGGGAGGGAGGGAAGGAAGGAAGGAAGGACAGAAGGAAGGAAGGACAGAAGGAAAAGGAGCAGGAAGAGTAAGGAAGGAAGGGAGAGGGAGGGAAAGAAAGACAGAAAGAAAGAAAGAAAGAAGGAAAGAAAGAAAGAAGAGAGAGAGAGAGAGAGGGAGGGAGGGAAGCAAGGAAGGAAGAAACTGGGTATTCTATTCTATTCTATTCTATTCTATTCTATTCTATTCTATTCTATTCTATTCTATTCTATTCTATTCTATTCTATTCCCATTCCCTTCTTACAGTAAACAGCAGTATTTTCACTTTTGTACAATATCGCAATTTACCAGTAGATGGCAGGGATGTACCATATAAACAGCATAGCAGAAGATCCCTTAATCTGATAAATTTAAGGAGTCTGGCAGTGCATTTTCTGACAAATTTTAATTAAATAATAATTAGAAATATATTAAAATGGCATTTGTTAATGGAAAAAGGTGAGATCAGACCCCTTTTGATTTTGCTACCATAAATGGCAGGAGCAACAGGGTAGCTTCAAAAACAAATTGCTGTGGTACATCTGTGTGACACATCTCCAAACAGAAGAACGAGACTTTCCCCAAATCTGGCAAAAAATACTGATCCAGATTGCACTATTCTCCTGTCTGAATATTTTTCAAAGAAGGGAGATGTACAGTGGAAAATCGCCCCTCTTTAAATGTTTCATCGAGTTTTCTTTTCAGGTGCTATTTCTCTGCTTGCTTGCTTCTCGCAGTTAAGATTTGTGGTTCAGATCTACTTGTAAATCAGCTAGCGATGTGAACAGGTGAGTTGAGAATAAAAATGCAGACCTGTTTGTACTTGATAGGGAATAGCCAACAAGCCAGTCTAGACGAGAGGAATGTTTCATATTTTGTATTCTGCCGTGTTTTCCCCAAAAATAAGTTTGAATCTTGGAGTGCTCTAAAGGTGGTAACCAAAACCTTGAAGCGCACCTGGAAGACCACCGGGAGCCAGTGCAGCTCGCGCAGGATGGGGGTCACATGGGAGCGCCCTGTCGCTCCCATAACCACCTGCGCGGCGCCGCATTCTGGACCAGCTGGAGCCTCCGGGTGCTCAAGGGGAGCCCCATGTAGAGAGTATTGCAGTAGTCCAGGCGGGAAGTGACGAGGGCATGAGTGACCGTATTTAACGAATCCCGATCCAGAAAGGGACGCAACTGGAGAATAAGGCGAACCTGATAAAACGCCCTCCCTTCACTAACGAGGCCTTGTGCCAGAGAATATTCGTACATTCTGAGATGATATCATGACATATCTAAAGCATGAGATGCTGGGAAAGAGCTAGCATGAAAAAGTAACTCCTAAGGCCGTGATGGCGAACCTATGGCATGGGTGCCACAGGTGGCACACCAAGCCATATCAGTGGGCACACAAGCATTGCTGTAGCTCAGCTCCAGCATGCATGCATGTGCTGGCCAGCTGATTTTTGGGCCTTCCGGTCCCACCAGAAGTTGGGAAATGGGCTGTTTCCGGCCTCCGGAGGGCCTCGGGGTGGGGAGAAGGCCGTTTTCGCCCTCCCCAGGCTCCTAGAAAGCCTCTGGAGCTTGGGGAGGGTAAAAAACAGACCTACTGGGCCCACCGTGCCATCACGTGCTAAAATGGGGGGGGCATGCATGGTGGTGGGCGCATTGAATTATGGGTGTGGGCATGCACGTGGGCGACCTCCCTGTGCTTCCCCCACTTTTGGCACACGATGGCAAAAAGGTTAGCCATCACTGTCCTAAGGGATTTCATGGACAACTCATGGAGGTCCTTCACAGACAACCTCAAGGAGGTCCTTCACAGACAATCTTATGGAAGTCCATTACAGACAATCTCATGGAGATCCATTACAGACAATCTCACGTATGTCCTTCATGGACAAACTCATGGGTGTCCTTCACAGACAACCTTGTGGCTCTCTATCCATCATACTCTCTTTGGGTGAGTCCCAACCACGTCTTCCTTCCTTTAGAATGAACATCAACCACTGTATGACAGGTGTCTCATGAAGTCATATCCAGAGAATATTAGCCAAGTTTTGAGAGAATCTTTCTCTACACGCATGCTTTTATATGCTTGAATTCGGTTCCACTCATCTTTGCAGGTCTTTCCATGGGGCAGAAACGAGTGAAATCTGGGTTTATATGCTAGCCCTCTGCACTTACGCTGCTATTTAGATCAGCTTTCATCTTAAAAACACCCCCTTCTTTGGAGAATGGATCTAGCTATTTCTTTTCTGATTTTATCTCTACTGGTCATTCCAGAAGCTTTTTGCAAACATCTCATTTTCATGGTGACTTAACTTCCGTTTACAGTTTATCGTAAGTGTTCATGTCCACTCTATGTTATTCTAGGTTTTTAAATTTGGTTTAGCATTTTATTCTTTTGATGTTTAATTTTTTTTAAAAAAAAAATTGGATTTCAGCAGTTAATTTACAGAACCTTGTGGCATCCTTTTTGTGCCTCTAAGAATTCCAGCGGAGAAGAAAATCCCTACCCTGACTTGGTTGTTTTAAAAGGCTGCAGTGGACACCCTTCAATATCTGCAAGGATTTGGGTTCTCCCTCTTTCTTTAGCATTTAGAGCAGAGGTGGGTTTCAGCAGGTTCTGACCAGTTCTGGAGAACCGGTAGCGGAAATTTTGAGTAGTTCGGAGAACCGGTAGTAAAAATTCTGGCTGGCTCCGCCCCCATCTATTCTCTGCCTCCCAAGTCCCAGCTGATCGGGAGGAAATGGGGATTTTGCAGTAACCTTCCCCCAGAGTGGGGTGGGAATGGAGATTTTACAGTATCCTTCCCCTGCCACGCCCACCAAGCCATGCCACGCCCACCAAGCCACACCACACAGAACCAATAGTAAAAATTTTTGAAACCCACCACTAATTTAGAGGGCAATGTTTATCGGGTGTCTTTTCAGTTTGATCAGAAGACCAGGGCTGGTAAACTGTGAATTTGAACTCACAACCATGGCAGCCTTCCGTGATCATTCCACACACCCTTTTTTTTTTCTCTTCCCGCTTTCCCAAATTTGTAATAAAAGAGAGCATATTTCTCCAACTATCTGGTGCAGCCGGTAATAAAAATTAAGTGCCAGGCTTCTGCTGGAGATTTACTGGGTTAGCAGAAAATGTCTCCCTTCTCTCATTGCACCGTTTCCTTTCTCTGCAATAATAATCTCATTAGGATGGGCTACGGGCTTTCTTGAGTGTATTCCATCTGCTACCTCCCACCTTCCTTTGCACCAATTTCTCTCCTTTTGTGGATCTCTCTCCGTTTGTGGATCTCTCTCCACAAAACTGCTGGATTGTACATGACCCTTTTGATGGCGGACCTATTCTCTCTCTCTTTTTTAAAAAATATATTTTTATTGTACATTTCCTTTCATTTTACATCACAATTTCAATTTTGCAACAGCGATATACTGGTTGTATCAGCAGCTTTTTAAATATACATGATGGTTATACATCCTAATGACGACCATTTTTCTGTTATTCATACAGTACAGTCCGTAGGCAAAAAAAAAAAAAGAAACTTGATATTATATAACCTACTTATATCTATTGTTTCCATAGTTGTAACATAATTCTCTATACATTTATCACTCTATATATTTTCATTTGTAGTTATGTACAGTCTAATAATAATATTGCTTGCAATACAGAGCCTTGGTAGTACAGTGGTCTAAAGCACCCTGTTATTAAGACCAGCTGCCTGCAATTACTGCAGGTTCGAATCTCCCCAGGCTCAAGGTTGACTCAGCCTTCCATCCTTTCTAAGGTAAGTAAATTGAGGACCCAGTTGTAGGGGCAATAAGCTGACTTTGTATAAATAAATATACAAAAGGATGAAGGCTATTGCTTAGCGCATTGTAAGCCGCCCTGAGTCTCCGGAGAAGGGCGGCATATAAATCAAATTTTTTTAAAAAATGCGTATTCTTCTATATAGCTTTATACCTGTATTTGTTTCTAGTTTGTCGATCGTCTTTCATCATTAATTTTCTAACCTTTGCATCTATTATCTAGCCAACTGTACCATACTAAGTCATACTCTGTTTCTCCTTTGTCTTTATTTTTTTAAAATTGTTTTTATTCAATGTTTACATCTTTAAA